ACTTGGAGGACGGGGTCCAGTTGTCCTCTCTGGACACGCAGACGCTTCTTGGGTTGACGACTTGGCTACGCAGCGGTCGTCACAGGGTTACACCTTTAGCCTTGGCTGCGGCTCTGTTTCTTGGCGGTCTACCCGCTCGTCTTCTGTTCTCAGTTCGAGTTGTGAGGCTGAGATCTACGCAGGGGCCATGGCTTCACAGGAGTTACGCTGGCTCACCTACCTGCTGACTGACTTGGGAAAGCGTCCTCGTTCTCATCCAGTTCTGTACGTAGACAACGAGGCAATGATTGCCTTTTGTCAGGAACACAGACTGGAGTACAGGACAAAGCTCATCGCTCTGCGTTACTTCCTTGCTCGAGAGTTGCAGCAGCGTGGTCAGCTTCATTTTGCTTACGTGGCCACTCGGGCCAACATTGCTAATATATTCACCAAGGCACTTCAGCCTGGTGAGCATCAGCGTTTCAGTAATGTTTTAGGCCTTGTGCCTACTTTGCCTCACTAGCTAACTGCGTGAATTTGCTTGTACTGTGATTTATATACATATACCTGCATGCTTGCCCCTGCTAGGTTATGATCACTGTACTGTCTTTTCTCGTTTATATAACCGTAATCACCCGGACATACCACCCGCCGAATTTGTAGACCCCCCGGGTGGCTTGTGCGGGGTGGGTGTTATAGTTGACCCCGTTTGTACTATACCCCCCCTTTTGGGGTAGTTTTTTATAACACCCCCTTTTTTACACAGAATGCCTTATTTTAGGTGTTAACGAGTATGTGCAATGATGGGGGGACATCGCGACGATCACTTTTTGCACGAAATTACATGGTAATTTCGAAAGTATCTGCTGGGGTCACCCCCGTCCCACTTTTTCACTGTTGCCACGCTGGTAGTTCTTTCGCTATCAAGTGGCCAAAGAGGTGCCACCTCGCAACTTCAAGGAGGAGTCAATGTTGTCGTCAAAACTGGTAATCTCGCTTCCAACTGTGATGCTAAACCAACCTTGAAAACACCCAAGCTGCCTATTTATAGAAACCCTTACACTAAAAAAATGTCATATATATGCACCCGGGTGGTATGTAGCTTTTTCCTATGAGAAGACCCCCCCCATTTTTTTGCTGTATTTAAAGTAAGACCCTAGGGTGTTATGTCCGGGTGATTACGGAATTCTGCATGTGAACTGGCCTTGTGGCCATTTGCTTGTGCTCAGAGTGTGTGGTGACTTTGTGATCCAGCCTGGGCTTGCTTTGCTTTTTCTTGACTGGTCTTGTGACCCCCTGTTCTCCCCTACTTTTCCTATAGGGGTGTGTCAAACTGTTACAATGTTTATATTGTGTAGACTTTAGTGGGGTGGGTAGCCCATAAGGGGTACAATCCAATTAGGGTTAGTACTTGTACCAACTTTTTGCTCAATGCATCCATTCTCGTTCAGTTTCTTTACATGACACTTCCCAACACTTCGCAAGTCTAAACTCGAACAATAGTAGCAGCTGGCTGCAGGATAACTCCCACACCCCAAGCCTTTCTACCCGACAGTCCCAGTAGTCCTGTTCTGATGCTTTCAGCTTGCGTCGGGATGGGACAGCACTTTCTCCGCATCATCACCAACCAACCTACGATGAACTGGAGTTGAGGTGGACACTGGACACCGCCCACGCAGCGCGAATCGGGAGGATGACTACTTGGTGGTCCAAGATGACTCGACAAGGAGTCACATTCACAGCAATCCACCGCAATTCAGAAGGTCCTCCCTAGAGAGCTCCCAACATTTCGCCATCACACCAGCTCACTCTGCACTTGATATAAACTCGTTTCCTTAAGCGGAGAAAATATATGGACTTCAGGCCTCCTCAATTCTATAATGTTATGATATGGAACACGGAGACACATGAATGCATAATTAGTGTCGGACATTTCTAAAGTAAAACACTGGTTATAACATGCAGAGCAGGGCTGATTTTATCAGGGTAATTACCCTGATTTCAGGGTGATTTCAGACTTGTCACTTTCTGGACCCTGAGAAATCAGGTTTTTCACATTTTGGTCCCTGATCCATTCAGAGTATTGCTTTAGCGGACCCTGAAATTTTGTGTACACTCTCAGTGCAGGGTTTTCACGGACCCTGTCAATACAGAGTACGAGGCCTGTGGACCCTGAATGCGATGTTATTGGGGCGAAGTTTCTCGGAAATTTCCTCCTGATAACCCCTTCGCATTGATTTCAGTGCCCCCCACGTGCGTAATCCTCCCCCCCCCCCCCCCCCCCCTCGCTTTATCGAGACAAAGTTTCTTCGAAGTTTCGTTCCCATACACCCACCATCTAGATCGGGCGAATCTGTAATGTCAGATTTTAGGTTGCTGTTATTGGTCGAAATAGATGTGCTCTAACACAGCGCCAGTCACATCGCCACAGTGCCAGTCACATCGCCACAGTGCCAGTCACATCGTCACAGTGCCAGTCACATTGCCAGTCACATCGCAAGTCACAGCGCGCCAGTCACAGCGCCAGTCACAGTCACCCTTGCGACATCAACAGCAGATTCGACCTCTGCTCCGTACGGAAATCCCTTTTGCGCTAGGTCAAGGCAGATTCTGCTTGAAATCCCCGTAGACTGTCAGATTTCGAGCAGATGTTGCGATTAGGGTAAAGAATGAGACTTCTGATTGAGTGAGACTTCTGTCCTCGGTAAAGAAAGAGCGCATTACTACGACCATGATTTTCAATTCTCGACCCTGAACATTCAGAGTTCACTACTTCTCAACCCTGAGCAATCAGGGTGCTGTTTTTCTGGAAAATGTGCCTTCAGGGTAATTTTTTTTTTTTTTTTAAGGTTGAAATCAGGGTACCTAAATTTGAAACGTCAGCCCTGATGCAGAGGCACAAGAATGATTGGTAGATTTGAGTTATGTATGATGACGGCTGCAAGATTGCGAGACGCCAAGTCTTAACAATGCTCTCCCAACCCAACCATTTTTACCCCTTCGACACATGAGATGAGATATGTTATGAAGTTGTTTATTAAGCTTTGCATTGATTCATACTGCAGCTCTATTTTATGCCTAGCCGTGCAAGCTCCAAGAGGACCAATATTATGACATGTATCAACATCCCTTATGATTGCTAGGCATTTGTGCAGATGATAACTCAGTCCCAAATCAGCACTTGTATCCATTGTTCTCTGGATTGAGAAAATTATTCTCAGATCAGCCTGCGTAGTGTAGTTAATCATGTTGAAGATGATTTGGTCACCCTCAACCTACTAAAGCTCGTGTCAGAAACCAATTTATTTGGTCGAATCAGGGACGAGTAACGAGAGCTGATCCAGCGATATTTGTCGCCAACCTCGCCCAATCAGCTACATCCTCTCGCTAACCGCACACCACTGCCAGAGAGACAATGGAGGGGAAGCCAAGGGCACCGCAAATCTCAACCGCAACTGCGTGGCCATTGTTCACCATACACGGCTGCGGTTTGCGTTGCGCCCATTGATTGAATCCAGTCATCTTCAAATTCAAACGATTGGGCTTGGCCCCGTTTTAGACTGACCGCCTTGACGGTGGGGCTTCAGATGACATGGCAATCGAAGGTCCCTAGGTCACGAAATCAAACGTTCACCTGGAAATCCCGCAACTCCCGCCTTTGCCAACGGAAACCTCGCTGAAAAACGTCAGTGTCATTCGACCCGCTTAGCCGCTTAGGTGACGAGGCGACACGCGAACAGAAAGCAGTCGGCGATTTTTCGTTTCCCCTTCCCTGACCGGCAGATTCACGTGCCACGTGAACGATTTCTGACCAGCCACGGAGTGGGCTATCGAATCTCCCTGTCATGGGAAAAACTTGAACCTGACCGGACCGACCGTTCGCAGCTGCTTGTCGTCATCCAGCCAGTTAGCCTGTAATCCAATCAGCATTGAGAGTTTTTCTTCACCACTGGTTGTATTGTTCGCGTAGGCAAAAGGCGAAAATCTAACCTACGGCTGCGATCTGAACTAGGAGAGTAGTTTCGAACGCCTTAGTGATTCTGGACGGTAGATCTCGTGTGGTGAGAACCCAAGAGCGTTGGTTGGAATGGGAGGGAAGGAGAGGCGAGGCATTCCGCGACCCCTCCGCCTCATTCCAACGTCATTCTCGCCTGAGCCTCGCATTTCACCGCGTTTTCGCCTTTTGCTCCCATTTTTTCACGCCCAGCTTCTTCTGCTCACCTGCTCGTTTCCTAGAGCTCAGCTTCCATAGCTCTAGAGCTCAGCTTCCATAGCTCTAGAGCTCAGCGTTATGACTTTAGTCTCAACATGTAGAACTCAGGCTTACGTTTACTGATGCGATTTCTCAAGATTGTAGCCGTTTGGTCTGCGTCCGGCTGAATCGTAGGAGCTTTGTATAGCGTGGAAACTCGGCATGTTTTGCGCATAAGGATTCTCCACTCAGGTAATACTGAGAGCATCTGCTCATTTTTCGCGCACCGAGTTTCATTGTCTGGTGTATATTGCGCAGTTAGAATACGAAATCGACATGCGATGTTTTCTGATGTTGCGGCTGCATCCTCGGAACGTGCCAGGTTCGTTGTGGACGCAACATCTTCCCCAATTTGGCTGTCGCGATTTTGGAGAGCCACGCGTACTCGGGATTCGGAGCCCTTAGTCTGGCAACGGCAGGATGTTCTCTACTCAGGTACTTGTGAACACATCCGCATCGAGTCCTCACTCTTTTTCCCGCATCGAGTTCTATTGTCCAGTGTAATTCGTTTTCGCAAACTAGGATTTGAAATCGTCATGCGCTACTTCTGACATGACGTCTGCATGCTCGGTATGTAGCAGGTCGTTGTGGTTTTGCTGGACGCGATTTTGGAGAGCCACGGATCGGAGAGCACGGCTGTACGAACTCGGATCGACGCTCGCCCTTCGTCTCGCAGCTCAGGTATTGTCGCAAGCCACACCACTCGGTTTTGTGATGTTTTATTTAGTCAAATTCGCGAATTTGTTTCTTGGATCAATTTCGCATCTCAATGTCTGCAAATTGTCTTTGCGGGTCCATCTCGCGTTGCAGTGTCGCGTTTCAAAATCGTGACTTATCTGTGCGCATCAATCTCGCAAATGAATTTCGCAGGTCCATTTCGTGGCACAGTGCCTTTCGCGAGCGGCTGATCTGAAGCTCGTGGATCAAGGGTGGCAAATCCCACCCTCACAGTGCGTCGACTTCAGATAAGTACCTTCCCCTCCCTAAACTCATGTCATGCTTGCTTATCTGCGCTTCCGATTGCTCTTCTGCCAAATCTCGCCACTGGTTGGGACCCGCTTCACAAGCCACAGAGCTTCTACTGCAGGTATCCCCCTCAGGTTCAGCCTCCCTCACGTTCAGCCTTCTCAGCCTGATAGCCCCCTCAGGTTCACCCCAACAGCAGGTTCCCCTTGAGCTCTGTGGCTTGTGCTGGCTGTTCCCCGACACTGTGACCCCTCCCTTCTCCCGCCTTCTCTCATCCGCCCTTCCTCTCCTCCCTGCGACCTTACTTACCAGTGCTGCTTGTGTGCACTGCACGTGGAGGGGAGAGGCATGGGGATCAACACCACCGTTCCCTCACACACCTCCCTGCTACTCACGCTGCTCTCTCCTTGTTCCCTTGGCCCTTCTCTCCCGTGCAGGTCCTTCAACACGCCTGGGACAGCATCAAGTGGCAGGCAGGCGCACGTGGGACAGCAAGCACGCACCTGCGGCAGCACCAGCGTTGCCCTCATGCCTCAAGCACCTCGCGGCAGCAGAAAGCACCTGGCGGCAGCAGAAAGCACCTGGCGGCAGCAGAAAGCACCTGGCGGCAGCAGAAAGCACCTGGCGGCAGCAGAAAGCACCTGGTGGCAGCAGAAAGCACCTGGCGGCAGCAGAAAGCACCTGGCGGCAGCAGAAAGCACCTGGCGGCAGCAGAAAGCTAAGTACTCACTCCTCCGTGCAGAGCACCCACCTTGCATTCCACATCACGCCCATTCTGGCGTTCCCTCATTTCGTTCGTCCATCAAATCTGGGCCACTGGTGACAGCACACGGTGCAGCCAACACGCCTCCCCTACTGCAGGTAAAGCCCGCCCCTTCAGGTGAACCCTTCAGGTAAAGCCCCCCCAGATGAACTCTTCAGGTAAATCCACCCTCAGGTAAAGCCCGTGGGTGTGTGGCTTGTGACTGTGCGTCCATCAGTGGCCCTCCTTCCGCTCTTCCTGCATCTCATCTCACCATGCATGCATTCCCTTCCCCGCTGCTGCCTCCCTCCCCCATACCGCCCTTAAATGCTCCCTCCTCTTTCCCACCGTTCCCCTCCCGTTACCATTCTTCCCCTCCCCCTCCAGGCCGCTCTCAGCAGCCGGCCACAAGCCGTGCTGCAGTGGGAGGGACACGCCATGCCATGCCTGCTGCCATCAGCTAAGTGCCCCTTCCTCCACGCCCTCGCCCTTGCCTGCCACCTCATCTCTTGTATCCTTGTGCTGTCAGCTTCTGGTTTCTTGTGCTTTCGCTTTCTTCTTGAATCAGTGCCACTGGTGGGCCCGCCTCACATGCCACAGACCCCCCTAATTCAGGTAACCCCCTCAGGTGCAGGTACCCCCCTCAGTTTCAGCCCGCTATAGAGCCCTTGCAGGTTCCCCTGGGGTCTGTGATTTGTGGTCGTGCCTCCACCAGTGGCCCCGTCCTTCCTCGTCAACGCATGACAGCTTCAGCCCTGTGGCTCCTACTTGCGCCCATTCCATCCACGCTCACCATTCCCGTGTGTGTGCCTTGCTGGTGGGGGGGAGGGGCGGGGGTCAACACCGCCGCTCCCTCACGCCTCTCCCCTGTGGCCGTGCAGGTACACACACGGGAGGCTGGGAGGAGGGCTGCTGGGGAGGAGTCACCTGGTGGTGCTTCAGCTGCCTTCTGCTCGCTCTCACATGACCAGCTAAGTGCCCCTTCCTCCGCACCCTCACCCTTGCCTGCCACGTCATATCGTCTTGTCCTTTTCTGTCGGTTTGTTGGCCGCTTGTGCTTTCGCCTTTCTCCTTGAATCAGTGCCACTGGTTGGGCCCGGCTCACATGCCACAGACCCTCTTACGTCAGGTTTGACCCTCATATCCAGGTAACCCCTTCAGGTGCAGGTATCCCTCTCAGTAACTGCAGGTCCCCTTGGGGTCTGTGGCGTGTGACTTGGCCTCACCAGTGGCCCCTCCTTTCCTCCTCCACGCATGGAACTGTCTCTTCTATCGCCCATGTCTGCGCTCATTCCAGGCACTTTCACTCACCACTGCTGTGTTTGTGCCTTGCATGTGGAGGGGAGGGGCGTGGGGTCAACACTGACGCTCCCTCACGCCCCTCCCCTGTGGCCATGCAGGTGCTCGTGGGGACGGGAGGGAGGCAGCACTGCAGCAGACTGGAATCGCCTCGAGGGAGAGTATGGGGATGGGCGTGGCCTCTCAAGGTGAGCCCCTTGCGTGCTCTTCCCTAGTGCATTTGCTAACTTCTTTGGAGTCTCTGGGTGCTCTTCCCTCACTTAGCCCTCTCGAATTTCTACCTCTTCCCTCTGTTTCGCGCTTTGCCTTCTTCCAAACTTCCCCTTCCGAAGCCGCCACTCACTCGCCTCTTCACTCACTTCCTGGCCTACCCTCCCTTCTGCCCCCTTCCAGGTCACCCGGCATGACATCACCACTTGCTGCAGCAGTAGCAGTGGATTGCGCAGGAGCAGGAGGGGAGGGGAGGGGAGGGGAGGGGAGGGGAGGGGAGGGGAGGGGAGGGGAGGGGAGGGGATACGAGATAGCAGGCCACGCCGCTTCGTCAACTGCCAGCTAAGTGCCTTCACCTCCCTCCAACTCACCTTGCTTGGCGCTCACTGGTCATTTCGCATGTCCTTGTGTTGTTTGTTTGTCCCTCAAATGCTCGCCACTGGTTGGGGCCCTGTCCACAAGCCGCAGACCTCTCTTTTTCTTGGTAATCCCAGGTTCAGCCCTCCCTAGGCCTTACAGCCCCCTCAGGTACTCCCCCTACTGCAGGTTCATCCCCTCAGGTTCCCTCTAGGTCTGTGGCTTGTTGCTGTGTCCCCACTGGTGGCCCCTCCCCTCCCTCGCTTGCCCTGCCTTTGAATTCACAGCTGCCAGTCTAGCTTGCTCGCATGATTGCCCACTGACTAGCTCTGCTTGTGTGCATCGCAGGTGGAGGGGAGGGGTGTGGGGTCAACACCGCCGCTCCCTCACGCCCCTCCCCTGTGACCATGCAGGTGCCGGTGGTGACGGGAGGAAGGCTGGGAGAAAGACTTGCCACGAGGGAGAGTATCGGGGTGGGGTTGGCCTCTCAAGGTGAGCCCCTTGCCTGCTCATTCCTGCTGCACTCTCTTCCTCCCTTGCATTCCGTATATGCTCTCTCATGCTCGTCCCTCTGCCTCGGCCATCACTCGGTTGCAGCTCCTTTTGACTTCCCTCCCGTTGCTTCCACACCTTCACTCACTCGCCTGCTCACCTGTCCCTCCCTTCTACCCCCCCCAGGTCACTCCGCATGCAGCAAGGGTACCTCGTGTGCACTCAACAGCAGCCTGCCCAGCAGCAGTGGGGGGAGCAGGAGCAGGAGCAGCAGTGGAGGGGAGGGGAGGGGAGGGGAGCGGAGCGGAGGGGAGGGGAGGGGAGCAGCAGGAGGAGAGGAGAAAGGGCTGCAGGTTCATCTTTCTAGCTAAGTATTCTTCCTCCTTAATCGCTGGCTTTCCCACTGCCGAGTGCCATTTACTCTGCTTCCTTTTGTATCTCACCTGTTTTTCATGCTTTCCCCTCTGAAATCTCGCCACTGGTTGGGGCTCGCCTCACAAGCCACAGACCCCCCCCCCCCACTCCTACTGCTGGTAACCCCTCAGGTACAGGTTCGGCCCCCCTTTTTAGCCTTATAGCCCCTTCAGGTTCACTAGGGGGTCTGTGGCTTGCGGCTGTGCTTCCACCAGTGGTCCCTCCTCCCTCACTTTCAGGTTTTTGCCCAGTCAATTGGCCTTTAGTCCCTGCACAGAACACTCACTGCTGCTGTGTGTGTGCCTTGCAGGTGGAGGGGAGGGGCGTGGGGTCAACACTGCCACTCCCCCGCGCCCCTCCCCTTGTGGCCTTGCAGGTACCCACAGGGATGGGAAGGAGGCAGCACTGCAGCGGACTGAACTTGGTGCTGCAAGGGAGAGTATCGGTTTGGGCTTGGCCCCTCAAGGTGCGTTAGCTCATGCCTTGGCCTCACCTTCCCCCTCCCTTAAGTTCACTCACTGCAGCGGCTCCCTCTTCAATTCTGCATTCTCGTTTTTATCCACTCAAGTTTTCTTCTGTTTCCTTGCATGTTTCAGTTCATGCCAACTCACTAGCTCCTCCTGCTTTTCCTCTCCTGTCCTTCACCCCCCCCCATTTCCGCCCGCTACCAGGTCACTTGGCATCAAGAGAAGATTGCAGCAGAGCAAGCAGAGTAGCAGACTGGCAGCAGCAGTTGCAGCAGCAGAAGCGGCCAAGGCAGCAGCAGTGCAGCAGCAGAGGGGGGTGGGGTTCTAGAGGGCAGGCTAGGCTAGTTGCAGCTGCAGGGAGGTGTGGTAACAGGTGTGGTATGGTAAAAGGTGAGGTATGGTAACAGGTGAGGTTTGGTAATCTGATCCCCTCCTCTCTCTCTTTCTCTTCCCCCCTCCCCTGCAGCCTGAGGGTTGGAGCACTGGAGCAAGGGCGGGAGAGTGGAGTCCTCCATTTCTCACCTCCTCCTCTCCCCCATTTCCCCACCCCTCCAAGCAGCGCCCTGCCTGGACCACAGTGGAGTCCCGCCCTCCCCTAATCCCCCCTCCCCACTTCCCAGCAGCCTCAGCATCATGGCGCTCTGCACGGCTCTGATAGGTAGAGGTAAGCAGGCATGGAGGTGAAGCGTGGGGTGGGTGGGTGGGGTGTTAGAATTCCCATGTTCTAGCATGCTAACACTTGTGACTGTACACCAATTGTGGTGTACAGTTGGGTTGGGACTACACCCAACTTTGGATGTAGTCTTGCATTTTGGGGTGCCAATCCAACCCAATTGTGGTGAAGCCCCCAAATGCAACCCTATGGGCCATAGGTTGCCTCACTTCACAAAGTGAGGCCAACCCAACCCAATGGGCCATAGGTTGCCCCACTTCCCCAAGTGTGGTCAACCCAACCCAATGGGCCATAGGTTGGCTCACTCCTCCAAGTGTGGTCAACTTAACCCAAAGGGCCATAGGTTGGTCCACTCCCCCAATCCCACCTCCCTTCTTTCCCTTCCAACCTTCTCTTCCCAAACCTATGTATGCTTGCCCAATTTTCTAATCAATCTAATGGTTCAATTTCCAATCTTCACATGGCGGGCATTGGAGCAAGCGGAGAGTTCACTGTCTTAGGGGCAGCATTCTCAGGGGGTGTGCCTTGTGGGTGGGGTGTGGTGGGTGGAATCTGCGCGGCACGGCACTTGGTGCTCAAGTTCCCGATCTGGCGTTTAAGGCTTAATGGACACCGTCAGAGCCGACCGGTCGGCGACTCTGGTTCGCGTCAGCTCTAACTACGTCAGGAGTGGGATGTGAGTCTTGGGCTGGAAGCAATTTTCCACTGCCACGCCTCTCCTCACAAGACACAGCCTCTGCGGGTGTTGTTTCCGAAGGGGGGTGGGCTGTATGCTGCTCCCACTGCTGGCAGGTGAAGTTGGGGTGCTTGCCTCCCTCTCTATCCTCCCTCTGTTACCCCTCTCTCTATGCCTTTCTCTGTATGCTCCCTCTGTCACCTCTCACCTCTCTGCATCTTCCCTCTGTACCCTCTCTCTTTGCCTTCCTCTGTATCCTCCCTCTGTCGCCTCTCTCTCTCTCTTTTCCTCCCTCTGCATCTTCCCTCTGTACCCTCTCTCTGTTTCCCTCCCTCAGTATCTTCCCTCTGTCACCTCTCTCTCTTTGCCTCCCTTCGTGTCCTCCCTCTGTCGCCTCGCTCTCTGTTTGCCATCCTCTGTATCCTCCCTCTGTCACATAAGAGCAAGATGCTCATGTTTGGTGGCACATGATGAGCCCTATGGGGCTGATGCCACCTGTTGCATGAGAGCAAGATGCTCATGTTTGGTGGCACATGATGAGCCTTATGGGGCTGATGCCACCTGTTGCATGAGAGCAAGATGCTCATGTTTGGTGGCACATGTTGAGCCCTATGGGGCTGATGCCACCTCTTGCATGAGAGCAAGATGCTCATGTTTGGTGGCACCTGATGAGCCCTATGGGTAAGATGTTACCTGTTCCAGGAGAGCTAGATGCTCATGTTTGTTGGCACATGTGAGTGGTAGTGAAGGGAGCTGAGTCCCATTGGGTGGGTGCGTGCAAGGAAAGCGGACTGATTTTTTCTGTGGATTGCGTACAATGGGAGTCTGCATTGGTGATTGAATGTGAGTTTGAGTGTGTGCGTAGGTGTGTATGGGAGTGTGTGCGTGTGTGTGTTTGTGTGTATGAATGTGCATGTGTGTGCATACGGTCTATGTGTGTAAGTGTGAGTGAGGGTGATTGATGGATTGAGAGAGTGAGAGTTGGATTGTGAGTGATTGCGAGTGAGTATTTGGGAGTGGCAGTGACTGTGAGTGTGACTTGTTGTGAGCAGAAATGTGTAAGAGTGGGTCTGATTGATTGAGTGACTGAGTGTGAGTGAGTACAGGCGAGTGATTGTTGAGTATGTTGAGTTGAGTGAGTGTGGGTGTATGTGAGGGTTGGTGACTGTGTGTGTACATGTGTGTGAGTGAATGTGTATCTAGCAGGTAAGAATGGCATTGAGATGCCCCAGATGGTTGGTTTGGGTGTGGCAATGGCAAATGCTTGGCCTTCGGTCAAGGCTGTGGCAGATTTTAGTCTCACAAACGATCAAGCCAATCCCTGCTTCGCACTGATGTTCCGTTCCGAACCGAACCTCACTCCTTCTGGGCTCCTGCTTGCTCACATTCCCCCAGGTTTCGCAGGCCAAGAATCAAATTGGCATGGAACGAAAGTCGTCAAATTTCAGCCGCTCTCCCACCTTCCAGTTGAGTGTTGACGGGTGATGTCACCTTGGTTTCTCCTTGGCACGATCAACCTAAGCTTCTCCCCATCGCCAATCCAGTTATGTGAGCTACCGATCTATGCGAGCTACTGATCACACCAGCCTCTAGAACTCTCACGTACCTCCACTAGAGTTTTGCTGACAGGACACTAGTCGTCACCGATATCTAAGATTGCCAATCTAAGCCTGATGTAGTTAGGACGGTGTAAGTCGTGGAGAACTGGGATTCCTAGGTAAGAACGCATCCTAGTGGTTACGATGGATCTGATTTCAAGCAAAGGCGGATACCACGATAAGTTGCTGCTTCAGAAGAGACAGATTGTACGTCAGGATTTATACCATTGTCTTATCCCTATCCCAACAACTTCGGATGATAGGCGGAGATGACGTTAAGGCATTGCAACATCGCTGCTGTTTATGTCATCCCGCAGGACCTAGCCGCTATTTCCGCCAGAAAAGAAACGTTGTCGCTGCTTTAGACGCTGAGCTTTCCTGCTGCATCCGCCAGAATCGCAATGTCGTCGCTGCTTCAGCCGCTGAGCTTTCCTGCTGCATCCGCCAGAATTGGAACGTCGCCGCGCAGAGGCAAGAGTCGTGTCTGTTGCCGTGCAGCGTACGAGCGTGCGGTGCAGCGTATGAGCGGGCGGTGCAACGTATGAGCGGGCGGTGCAACGTATGAGCGGGCGGTGCAGCGTATGAGCGGGTGGTGCAGTGTATGAGCGGGCTGTGCAGCGTATGAGCGGGCGGTGCAGCGTACGAGCGTGCGGTGCAGCGTATGAGCAGGCGGTGCAGCGTATGAGCGGGCGGTGCAGCGTATGAGCGGGCGGTGCAGCGTATGAGCGTGCAGTGCAGCGTATGAGCGGGCGGTGCAGCGCATGAGCGGGCGGTGCAGCGTATGAGCGGGCGGTGCAGCGTAAAAGCGGGCGGTGTAGCGTATGCGCGGGCGGTGCAGCGTATGAGCGGGCGGTGCAGCGTATGAGCGGGCGGTGCAGCGTATGAGCGTGCGGTGCTGCGTACGAGCGTGCGGTGCAGCGTATGAGGGGGCGGTGCAGCGTATGAGCGGGTGGTGCAGCGTATGAGCGGGCGGTGTAGCGTATGGGCGGGCGGTGCAGCGTATGAGCGTGTGGTGCAGCGTATGAGCGGGAGGTGCAGCGTATGAGCGAGCGGTGCAGCATATGGGCGAGCGGTGCAGCGTATGAGCGGGCGGTGCAGCGTATGAGCGTACGGTGCAGCGTATGAGCGGGCGGTGCAGCATATGAGCGGGTGGTGCAGCGTATGAGCGGGCGGTGCAGCGTATGAGGGTGCGGTGCAGCGTATGAGCGTGGGGTTCAGCGTATGAGCGGGCGGTGCAGCGTATGAGCGGGCGGTGCAGCGTATGAGCGTGCGGTGCAGCGTATGAGCGTGCGGTGCTGCGTACGAGCGTGCGGTGCAGCGTATGAGGGGGCGGTGCAGCGTATGAGCGGGCGGTGCAGCGTATGAGCTGGCGGTGTAGCGTATGGGCGGGCGGTGCAGCGTATGAGCGTGTGGTGCAGCGTATGAGCGGAAGGTGCAACGTATGAGCGTGCGGTGCAGCGTATGGGCGAGCGGTGCAGCATATGAGCGGGCGGTGCAGCGTATGAGCGGGCAGTGCAGCGTATGAGCGGGCGGTGTAGCATATGAGCGGGCGGTTCAGCGTATGAGCGGGCGGTGCAGCGTATGAGCGTACGGTGCAGCGTATGAGCGGGCGGTGCAGCGTATGAGCGTGCGGTGCAGCGTATGAGCGGGCGGTGCAGCGGATGAGCGGGCGGTGCAGCGTATGAGCGAGCGGTGCAGTGTATGAGCAGGCGGTGCAGCGTATGAGCGTGCGGTGCAGCGTATGAGCGGGCGGTGCAGTGTATGAGCGTGCGGTGCAGCGTATGAGCGGGCGGTGCAGCGTATGAGCGTGAGGTGCAGCGTATGAGCGTGAGGTGCAGCGTATGAGCGGGCGGTGCAGCGTATGAGCGTGCGGTGCAGCGTATGAGCGTGCGGTACAGCGGAGAAGCGTGCGGTGCAGCGTACGAGCGTGCGGTACAGCGGAGAAGCGTGCGGTGCAGCGTACGAGTGGGCGGTGCAGCGTATGAGCGTGCGGTGCAGCGGATGAGCGGGCGGTGCAGCGTATGAGCGGGCGGTGCAGCGTATGAGCGTGCGGTGCTGCGTATGAGCGTGCGGTGCTGCGTATGAGCGTGTGGTTCAGCGTACGAGCGTGCGGTGCAGCGCGCGGTGCAGCGTATGAGCGGGCGGTGCAGCGGATGAGTGTGCGGTGCAGCGTATGAGCGTGCGGTGCAGCGTATGAGCGTGCGGTGCAGCGTATGAGCGGGCGGTGCAGCGTATGAGCGGGCAGTGCAGCGTATGAGCGGGCGGTGCAGCGTCTGAGCGGGCGGTGCAGCGTATGAGCAGGCGATGCAGCGTATGAGCGGGCGGTGCAGCGTATGAGCGGGTGGTGCAGCATATGAGCGGGCGGTGCAGCGTATGAGCGGGCACCGCAGCGTATGAGCGTGCGGTGCAGCGTATGAGCGTGTGGTGCAGCGTATGAGCGGGCGGTGCATCGTATGAGCATGCGGTGCAGCGTATGAGCGGGCGGTGCAGCGTATGAGCGGGCGGTGCAGCGTATGAGCGTGCGGTGCAGCGTATGAGCGTGCGGTGCAGCGTATGAGCGTGCGGTGCAGCGTATGAGCGTGCGGTGCAGCGTATGAGCGTGGGGTGCAGCGTATGAGCGGGCGGTGCAGCGTATGAGCGGGCGGTGCAGCGGATGAGCGGGCGGTGCAGCGTATGAGCGAGCGGTGCAGCGTATGAGCGTGGGGTGCAGCGTGTGAGCGTGCGGTGCAGCGTATGAGCGGGCGGTGCAGCGTATGAGCGTGCGGTGCAGCGTATGAGCGGGCGGTGCAGCGTATGAGTGGGCGGTGCAGCGTATGAGCGGGCGGTGCAGCGTATGAGCGTGCGGTGCAGCGTATGAGCGGGCGGTTCAGCGTATGAGGGTGCGGTGCAGTGGATGAGCGGGCGGTGCAGCGTATGAGCTTGTGGTGCAGCGTATGAGCGGGCGGTGAAGCATATGGGCGTGCGGTGCAGTGTATGTGCGTGCGGTGCAGGGTATGTGCGTGCGGTGCAGTGTATGTGCGTGCCATGCTCTGTGCTGTGCCAAGCTCTGTGCTGTGCCATGCTGTGTGCTGTGCCAGCTGGAAGGGAAGTGAAGGGGGTGAAACCCCTCATCTGGGTGAATGGAAGATGGGGGGTGTTGAAACCCCATGGGTGGATGAATGGAAGGGAAGGGGTTTGACACCCCCTGGGTGGGTGAGTGCAAGGGGAAGGAAATGAAATTCCTTGTTTGGGTGAGTGAAGGGAAGGGAAGGGGTCTCTAACCCTTTGGGTGGATCAGTGCAAGGGGAGGGGTTTGAAACCCCTTGGGTGGGTAATGGAAGGGAAGGTGGATGAAACCCCTTGGATGGATTTGTGGAATGGAAGGGGCGAGAAACCGCTTGGGTGTGTGAGTGGCCGGCATGATGCTTTCTGCTCAATTAGCTACCTGCGGCATTGCAGCTGCCGGAGTGAAATGCAGCACGATACAAGTCACAGAGGAGAGTGTGGGAGGGAAGAGGAGGGAAGAGGAGAGAAGAGGGGTGGAGTGGATGTGGGTGCATATGGCTCAAATGTAGCCATGCTCTGCCACCACAAGGATGTGAAAGGCTTGGAACTACTAAGTTCACTGTTGCTGTGCAAGCTACGGTATGCTGTGCTAGCACAAGGATGTGCCATGCTCAGAAACTGACATGACTTACGGTACCCGTTTCTACTTCCAGTCTGTGATCACATTACCCTTGCTTCTGTGCTGTCTTACCGGTATGCGCATGTCAATTTGAGTTGGAAGACTTCACCATGATAGGTGACTTCAGTACTGGTACTATGGAGCGCCTACACAAACGCATGTTCAAACCTACATACTGAGAGTTCCTGTTGGAAAATGTTTGTTGGTTGCGAGCATTTACTGGAAGCGGATGTTGATTGGAAATGGATCTCCGTTTTGCAAAAGTATGTGTTGGGCTGAGAAAAGCCCTTAGGATCTTTCAAGGCTAAGATCGTGGTTGAAGTAGGAATATTGTAGTTGCGGAAACGTTTAATATCAGAGTTGCTGAACCACCTTATACTAGTGTGTGAGAACAAGGTAAGTTGATAATAGCAAGTAGATACAAGCATTTTATATGATTACAAAGGAATATGAAGAGTTATACTTTAACTGTTTTTGCTGTTGCGATTCGATACAGTGCCGACTCGGGTAACTGTTCAGTATTGAGTCAGTTATGTGTCCTTGCTGTCGCAGTGTAATTTTCGTCAGCGACCTTTGACCTTCGCGTAACATCCAGCGGTTGCTTTGATTGACTCATGTTGCTTCACTGTAGTCTGCTTCGTTTCTTGTCGATACTTCGATATTTCAGAAGTTCAAGTTACTTGTTTCCAACAGTATGTAAGCCCCATAATTATCAACGATATGTAAGAACGATAGTGTATGTATATTCTGATATTCTGATAAGCCCTATATCACCATTAGTCAATCTTTATGACGGCGTTAGCCATATGCATATTTTTTTGGAATCTCATAGTTTCTCTTTAGACATAGTATATGACGTGATTTTTCGAAACTCCTGTTATGAGCATATTATATAGCACAAGCCTTCTGTATTGTAAGGAGTTCGGTAATCAGAGAGGGTTTCATTCAGGGTTTCTTTTCCCCCTCATCCCACTCTTGCTCCTCTCAGCTTTTCGCTCACAATCCATCTCCTAACCGAGATTTTCTTCCACAAAAGCATCTGGCTGCCGTTCAGATAATGGCCTGTCTGCGGTAACATGAGGAGGCCTCTGAGATAGCCCCGATCACTTCAGAGCTTTTTCTGAAGTCCAGCAGCCACAGTGATTGTTGAGTGGAGGTGTCTGTTTAGTTCGTTCAATCTGTTTCCGCATTGCCGTGGCTGTTGCTGATGGACGAAGCGGCTCTAGATGATTTGATCGCGCGGCTGCTAGATGTGCGGAATGGACGGCCAGGAAAACTCGTTCAATTGACTGAAGCAGAGATTCGCAATCTCTGCACCACTGCAAGAGACGTCTTCTTGCAGCAGCCCAACCTCCTGGAATTAGAAGCTCCCATCAAGATATGCGGTTAGAATTCCATCCTTTTGCCGCACGTAATGCTGCTTCGTCTTTTTCCTTCACAGCGTTCGTGTACCGGCAAGAGCATTCCGCCTCCTAATTATTTCGGTTTGATTCTGGACAGCTTTCTTACAGTACAGCTCATCACAGTCTCTTGGTCGCATTCTTTCCATCTTTCCTCAGGTGACATTCATGGCCAGTATTCGGACCTCTTGCGCCTCTTTGAATACGGCGGTTTCCCTCCGGAGGCTAACTACTTGTTTCTAGGAGACTACGTGGATCGAGGCAAGCAAAGCCTCGAGACCATCTGTCTGCTTCTGGCGTACAAGATCAAGTACCCGGAAAATTTCTTCTTGCTCCGAGGAAACCATGAATGCGCTTCCATAAACCGCATCTACGGCTTCTACGATGAGTGCAAGCGCAGGTATCTAATGGCGGGAGGCATTTCCCGACAGGGTTATCCTTCTCTCGTTCCTTAGCATGACACGTCTTCTCCCCTTTCCGCACTGTGTGGTGTATGATTTAGTGATAACTCTTTTTTGCTATTGTTTGTTAATTAGGTACAACATTCGGCTGTGGAAAACCTTTACAGAGTGTTTCAACTGCCTTCCGGTAGCTGCGTTGATAGACGAGAAGATTCTCTGCATGCACGGCGGCCTCTCGCCCGACCTGCGGTCGCTGGACCAGATCAAGAAGATCGGTCGCCCTACTGATGTACCAGACGCCGGTCTGCTGTGCGACCTGCTGTGGGCTGACCCTGACAAGGACATTCAAGGTTGGGGAGACAACGACCGGGGTGTGTCGTACACGTTCGGCGCGGATGCCGTCACTGACTTCCTTGACCAGCACGACCTGGACCTAGTTTGCCGCGCTCATCAGGTACACCTGCCGTGCGACCTGCTCTCTCAGCCTGACTGCAGCTCTTTCTGTATAACAACCCCTTGCCCGCTCTGTTCCTTGGCCCGTTTTGCTGCATTGCCTGGTTGGCGATTTAAACTGCCATCCTCCCACCTTGTGCTGAGCACTCTCTTTCCTGCTGGTTCCAATCTCGGAGCTTCATTCTCTGTGTTTTGTATTGATATGGGAATGCACCTGTGCTATCTAAGTTTTATTTCTTTTCAACCCATGCTACTCGTTATTAGGTTGTGGAAGACGGTTACGAGTTTTTTGCCAAGCGCCAGCTCGTTACAGTCTTTTCCGCACCCAACTACTGTGGCGAGTTTGACAATGCCGGTGCCATGATGAGTGTGGACGAGAGCCTCATGTGCTCCTTCCAGATTCTTAAGCCGGCTGAAAAGAAGCCCAAGTTCGGTTATGGGGCAGCAGGAGGAGCGCGTGGAGCAGGCCAACCACGAGGTGGACGGGTGAGGCCTTTTCTAGGCACCACATTTGCTGGCTCGTGTTTCTTAACAGACTCTTGTTCTTTCTGCTATAGCCGATATGTTGTGCCCTTGATACCTTGATACTTATGCTCCTTGATTCCACCCCTTCAAAACTATCCTTTCTCTGTTTTTTCCTGGCTGATGTGCCCAGAGATGATTCGACTCCAAGCCGCGTGATTGATATTCACATACCGTAAACCCCCGTATATAAGACCCTAGGGTATTATGATAATCTGGCCTTAAAAAGTTGGGGGGTATAATTAAATGGTACATATTTTATAAGACCCGGGTCTTTTCAAATTGACTTCTATAAGTCTACTGTTTTGGAGCTCAATGAAGTGAATTGGAATTGCTCCGTTTTTAGCACCTCCCAAATATACTCGAACTGGTCTCTTCCTGGGCCAAACCCACATCATCACGTACCCTATCTAAAAGCCTCCTCCCATTGGGCACAAACATCACTTGGTGTTGACATAAGCGAGAAGGGCACCGTTTGATGGGCCCGGCGCGCAGTGTCGCCTCGACCTGCACACCCCATGCACGCTTCGTGCGATCCTATAGGGCGGGAGCTTCAGACTCCCGTACTGTCGTCTGGCACGTCCTTGTTTTTGAGGGCTGACTTCACTTCCTCCTCCAGTTTCTTCCCCCCTTACTGTGCTCGGCTGGCTGCCATCTAAAAGATGGTTGTCTGTACCTGAACATGGAATAGGACCATTTTCCATTGCATTCGCTGAAAATACACACTTCTCTAGGATGTGGGGGGTCTTATAATGTCAGGAGCCATTTAGGGGGGTATAACTCGGATAGACTCGAATAGAGTACCCCCCTCCGTATTATAGACCCGGGGGTCTACAACTGGAGGGGGTCCTATATACGGGGGTTTACGGTAGATTGGCGTCAATTTTGGGAGTCCTGGTCAGTGCCGTGGACTAGTACATTGAGCATGCGAACTGATTGAGTGCATGAGGATGCCTAAGACGGCACTGGTTGCTTCTAGTTTTTTCTTACCATTGGGCTCGTTTCTCCCGGAGGGTGAAGGTTGCATGGGCGCACTCATGCAGCACCCTAATAGGAATTGTTCATGGCATGCAGTTACTTTCGGATGACATAATTGGTTCAGCATGACATGTACAGTACAGTTCTGTAATCTGTGCATGTCACCAAGTTCTTGAATGTAATTTAGTTCCAGTTATAACTGCAGGGTTGTTCAGTAAGAATGTATTCCACTGTAGAAATAGATATTTTCTTTTATTACTTCAATTTGCTTTGTATCTGTTTTGAAGAAAAGACCAGTTCATGTACCATCCAGGTGTGCAGGTGTAAGTAGAGGTTTCAGTGGATTCAGGTCAGACTCTATATGCGATGCGGTGGTGTTCCCTCACCAAGGAGCAGTCAGCAGTATGTGGGGAGGGGACAGGGCATCATGAACGCGGGAATCTCTGAGGCGGTTCGTCCTTCCGCCAAGCGACAGGGTGCGATTCTGTCAGTTAAGCTTTTGAACTCCTCGGCGAAATATGCGACACAGGGATGCCACACAGCGCAAGCAGTGTGGCGAAAAGCCCAAGGTCCCCGTCGGCAGGGACCAGAATGGCAGTCAGCAGGAAGGCGGGCAGGATGAAAGGGATCCATGAGTGGAGCTTGTTCCCCGCTGGGTCCAACCAAGCGAGCTTTCAGGGGCTCGCCTGCCCAAAACGCCATTCCACACCCGTCGGCAAACCTGCCCGACCACCACCATCTGATTCATGATTGTTGGCACCCTCTCCAGCCTACCCTCACCTTTACTGTGTTTCAGTTTCTGTGCAACTTTGGCATGCCTGCGAGCGAGCTACCATTCCGAGCAAGCAACAGCATGGACCTCCAGCAGACACCATCACAGCTCACTTGCCATCCCACAGACATCATCTTCCGACTTAGATTGCTGACCAGGCGACGTCCCTGTGCTGTAGGTCATCTTGCTGGTCGTCCGCAACCGTCCACGCTGTGCTCTTAAGTTAGTATTTTCCTTCACGACGCCGTCGAGAGAGTAAAATCAACACTTTTCATCAAGCCGTCGTAACAATCGACACGACTCGTGTCGGCATTGCTAATGAGACCTTGACGTGTCGGCCATGTGGATCATCAACGCTGTGCTCTCCATTCGGACCTGGCGTATGAATCATCCTGTCCATGCCATTCTCAACGCGCCTGCATGGACCGCGGAGTCCGATAATGGTTGCTTTCCAGCTCTAGCAGGAAAGTCGCGGTTCCTGTTCACTTTTCCGATGCATTTACACTGCCCTGATCTTCCAGTCATTCAAGTATAATGAGAGTAGCTCCTGCAGGATACGATCGTCCTACGTACTTCGCGAACAGTCTCAGCAATAGAAAGAGCTCAGCCTGAATTGCGTCTTGTGTGGTCTCTCTGAACCGTACTCTAGCTCTACTTGCACAATCTCGTTGTTTTGTAGCTCGTAGCTCGTTGCCTGGTGATACCATAGTCGCTTTGTTTAGGTCCTTCTAGTGTTTTTCCGTCCGTCGGGATTAGCTTCGCCTCCCACTTCGACTACCGCTGCCTCTTTTCCGCCATTTTCTCCTGCTCCGGTCGAAGTGACTTCTGAATCGTCCCAAACAATTTACGGTCGGGTGGAGAGAACACACAACCGTCCGCTCGTCATGCCACTCGCCCGTCGACACGTGGCGGCGGAGGAGAGCTTGGCATCGCCGAGCGTTCTCCGCGCAGCCAGCAGTGATGACCCGCGGGGGATGCTGGAGGGCGTGTCCATGGCGTGCCTCGTGGGCCTCGTGAAGCAACTGGCTGTCCTTTCAGAGTAAGCACATCCTCCTCCTTCCACTCCGCGCATCGACCAACTATCAACCTGCGATCCACCGACAACACAATCCCCCGCTATCTCTCTCTGTCTCTCTCTACGTCTCTCCCTCCCACAACATCCCCTTCCCTGCTCGGCTTTCCTGTTGTCGTTCCCGGGACTCAATAAAGTTGCTCTGATCCTCTCTTTTGCGCCGGCTCTGCCTCTCTCCCCGCGCCATGCAGCCACGCCTCGCGTGTGTTCGAGGGTTTGGCGGCGGACCTAGCGGAGGTGGCGTCGCGGCGGGAGCAGGTGGCAGCGCGGGCCCGGGGAATAGAGTCTGTGGTGGGACGGATAGAGGAGCGCATTCTTAAGGACGGCCACCCACTCGCACTTGCGTACACGCCAGGTAACGCTGCTACGACAGGGAAAGCAGTAAATTTGAGGGAGATCCGATTTGGTGAAAGCACTATTCGTTTGCTGAGCATGTCTGCTTGATGCAAATCATTGCCCGAGTGTTCTTCCCGATTTCATCGCCCGTCGCGTTAAGTTTTACGACTGCCGTCACATGATGGTATATCGCTCACTCACCGATTGCTGCGTTCCTCGTGCGTTCCTCCTCCAGGCGTGCGATGGCGCGCGCACGTGCCGACGGCGCAACAGGTGCTCCTGTCCGCCGACCGCCCGCTCGTCATCGTCACCGCGTACCAGAACGCCGCTCCCGCGCCCCCCCTGAAACGCCTTCACAGGTACGGCGATCGTGGGTCCCGTGGGATCTGCTTAGTATCACGCGTGGGTGAGTCCAAGCCCGACGGACGCTGCGAGTCTGTGAGCGGCTGCGTGCAAGGAGTGTTCCATTCCCGTAAAGCTCCGTCCGCTTACCTAGTCTCGCAACCGAGAACAGCGGTGTTTGAATCTGCTTGTCCCGTTTGCCGTAACGCCGTTGCCTCCTTTCCTGCACATTCTCACCTCTGCACCCGAATATCCAAAGTTCGTGACCGTCGTAAATCTCTTCCTCTCCCCCTCCGCTCCCCTCTCCGCCCTTCCCGCAGGCTGTTGCCTTCACCCGCGGGAGATCTGGCGGAAGGGGAAGATGGTGGCTGTGAGACCAGGGAGGTGCGGGAAGCAGGGAGTAGTGACTGGCGCGCATGCGATGACGCGGAGAGAGGAGGGGAAGAAGCTGCAGGCGAGGGGAGCGATGGAGCTGGCGGCATTGAAGGCGGGGACTCCCGAGCCGCGCGGGCGGCGGAAATCCTGCTGCAGCTGGTATGTGTGTGTGGTGGGAAGTGGGAAGGGGGACGGAGAGAATCGTTGGGAGAGAACGGAAAGCGAGGGGGAAGGAGGGGCATGAGGGTGGATAGCTAGTGTGTTGTTAAGGTAATCGAATGTTTTAAGTGGCGTCGAGGGTTCGGAGGCGGAAGCGATAAATAGATCTTATGGACGAGCAAGTGCAGGCGAAGTGGCGCAGGAGTGTGCATCGATGCTAGTCCCAGCTTTTCCCCTGTTCCCCGACTACCTGCTTTTTCCGGCTTCCCCCTTCTCATCCCCCACACACCCCCTTCCCCGCTTAACCTCCTCTCTCGCGCACATAGCATGCGGGAACCCCAATGGTTTAACAGTTTACCTGCTTTATGCGTACCGTTTTCTTCTTCCTTTCTTCCCTCGCTTGCGTCCTCCCTCTCACCCCGTGGGTGCACGCCACTTGCCTCTACTCTCACTCCTTGCGCCATCAGGGGCCCCAGTCCCCCCCGGATGCCTCGTCGTGGATGGCCGCGCGACTGCTCCGCGCCTCACTTCTTGCGCCATCGGGGGAGAGTAGAGCGGAGAGAGGAGATCGCGAGCAGTGGAGTGGTGATGACGTGGGCGACGGGTTGCGTCGGGGAGACGTGGGAGAGGGGAGGGATGGGGAGACAATGAGGGCAAGCTCTGAAGCAAAGGCAGGGGAGGCTGGGGGTTATGGTGAGCCAGGGAGATGGAGCGAAGAAGCAGGGAGAGAGGAATCAAGACTTGCGTTTGATACCGATCATTGGGACGAGGAGGAACGGCACTTTGAGGAAGGCGCTAGGGATGGAGAGCGCGAGGGGGAAGTGAGGAAGGAAGAGGAGGGTTCAGGAACGAGTGGGAGGGGAGAGAAGGGAAGGGCGGATGAAGGGGCAGCGCTGGGGTGGTTGGATGCGGGAGACGGGTTGGAATTCGATGTGACGCAATTCGTGCGAGTGTTGGAGGAGGAAGGCGCGGAGGACACAGAGGAGCACGCTGGATATGCCCCTGAGTCGCCTCGAACCATACCAAGGGAGCATGACCGCGATAGGAGAGAGGAATGGCAGCAAGGGGAGAGAGAGGAGGTTGAGCACGGGAAGGTGGAGGTGCAGGAGGATACTGGAGAAGGGGAGGTGGCAGGTAGCGGGAGGGAGGAGGTGGAGGAAGAGGAGGCAAAGGGTGAGGAGCATGAGGCGCGCTTGCTTTCGAGTGGAGACTGGCACTCCAGTGGTGGGAGTGAGGCGTCGGAAGAGGTTGAGAAACGCGCGTTGGACGCGCTTGTTGAAAGGGAGGAAGAAGCTGCAGTGGATTCTGACGAGGACGATGCTGAGGGGATGGAGGATGGGCAGGGATCGTCAGCTGGAAATGGGGAGGCAGTGGGGAAGATAGGGCTTGGAGGAACGGAGCAGCAGCAGCTTGACAAGGCGAGGGATTTGAACGTGCCAGGCGCTTCTCAGCAGCATGACCACTTGCAGCAGGAGGAGCAGCGAGAGGAAGAGCAGGAGCAGGAGGAAGTGCATGGGGAGGACGCGGGTCGATCAGCTCAGCTCCACTCGCCATCATCCAAAGACGCACTCGCTCTCCACACCCCACACTCCATCTCCGCCTCACCCACCCCGTCCTCGCCCACCCCACAGGCGCCAGTTACCAGCGCAACAGCAGCAGCGTCCCCCTGCTCCTCCGCCTCCTCGTGCTCGTCTGTGTCTGGTCGCTCCATGTCTCATTCTGTGTCCAAGTCACTCAAGGACCTGTCCGTGCTGCAGCAGAAGCTGAGGGCGCAGAGGGGCGACGTGCAGCGACTGGCAGCTGACAGCATGCAGCTGCAGCAGTGGCTGGGCCTGCAACCGCACCAAGTGCTGCTCTCGCCTTCTGCCTCTCCAAGCACCTCTGCTGCTGCTGCTGCTGCGTTTGCTGTGTCTGATTCTGCTGTTTCTGCTGCTTCTGAATCTCTCTCCAGCGGACACCAGCATGGCAAGCAGCCATCCGGAACTGCTGAGAGCTTCAGCACCGGTGCCGGGATTAGTGCTGGCAGCACTACCAGCAGCAGCTGCAGTGTTGGTGGCAGCGGTGGCGGCGGTGACGGTGGTGGCGGCGATGGGGCGAGCAGTTCAGCTAGTGGTGGTTCGACTAGTGGTGGTGGGTGCGGGGCGAGCAGCAGCAGCCTCACAAGCAGGCCACGGCGATTCAGCCTGGGCTCTGCGGCAATTGGGGCAGGAGGAGGAACGGCAGGGGCGGCTTCTGCAGCAGCCTTGGCAGCTGCAGTGGTGGCAGCAGGAGGGAACCCAGTGGGTGTGGCAGTGCGCAGGGAGAGAGACGTGGCTGGATCGCTCTGTGTGACGGCTGGTAACAGTGGTGAACCTTTGCCTCCCGCTTCTGCTGGCTCTACTGCTCATGTTGATGGCGGTGCGGCTGTATCAGAGACACTGAATTTGGATGGTGAGAAAGAGGGCAGGTCACATGCAGGGTACAACGGGGAGCATGGCTTGTCCGCGAAGCAGAGTGACGTCACGCAGCTGAGCCAGGAGGGAGTTGGACCAGCGCTCCTGAAGCAGCAGCAGCAGCAGCAGCAGGAGCAGCAGCAGCAGGGGAAGGAGTTAGAGAAACATGGTGGGCGGAGTGGAGGGATTGAGGTGATAAGGCGGAGTGCGTCCCTGCCTGCCGTCTTCCAAGAGCCAGACAAGGCCGAGCAACCACGTGTACAGGAGAACGAGCAGGGGCATGAGCAGAAGGGCGAGGGCGAGGGCGAGGGTGAGAATAACGCCAGTCAGGGCAGCGAGGCGCAGGTGTCACCTCCCCATCGTGCTCTTTCCCATGCTCACTCCTTCGCTGCTGCCTCTGCTGCGTCCCCCTTCTTCCTGCCCCACCCACTCGTCCCCTCTTCTCCCCCTCAACTGCCCTCTGCTGCCTCAGCTGCAGTGGCAGAGACACTTGAGAAGGAGGCGGTTGAATCTGCTGATGCTGCTGCGTCTTGTCTTGCTGGTGCAAGAGACAGGGATGTGCCGCCTGTTAGCTCCTCTACCCTGGATTACCCAGCTCCACCTGCGTCCCAACCATTTGGCTCTCATAGCCCTGCTCCCCTTATTGTTCCTTCCCCCTCCATCTCCTCCTCCTCCACCTCCTCCTCCTCGGCCTCTGCCCCTGTTCCCCCCTCTGACACCTCTGCCCGCTCCCGCCTATCCGCTTCCCCACAAACCGCTGCCTCTGCACATTCCTCCCCATCTGCCTCTTCCTCCTCCACAGCCCACTCCTCTCCCTCCCCCTCCACCTCTCGCCTCTCTGCCTCTGTTGCCTCCTCTACTCGCTCACCCTCCTCCTCTTCCTCCTCCGCCTCTCCCTCCCCCTCCTGCTCCTCGTCTTCCTCCTCCTCCCTGCTCCCCACTTCCACCTCTCGCTCTCAGGTCTCCATACACACTCCCTCTCAACCCCGCAGTCGCACTCACTCCCTCGCCTCCCCTTCCTCCCCCTCTATCCTTCCTGTCTCGTCCCTCTCAACTGTCTCCCACGGCAAAGCCCACTCCTCCCACCAGCACACTACTCCGCACTCGCCCACCACAAGCACCACCCGCCAGCACGCAGTGCCACACTCCCCCAATGCGACCAGCGCTCACACTCCCAGCTCTGTTCTCCTACCTGTGGATACCAATGCCACGGGTACTGTGGCTGCTGCCACTGCCGCTCCCTTGCTCTGTGCCTCCACCCCGAGCGCACCTCCTCGCACCTCTGTGCCCTCCAATTTTCCCGCAGACCCCGCCTCTGGAGTCTCAGCTGCTCTCACTTCTCCCTCCACCCGCCAGCCCACGCCTATGCTCTCCCCGCCCTTCTCTGCTGTGCCAGCTGCTCCTGGTAGCTCGTCAGCAGCGCCACTCACCTCCACCCGCGGCAATAGTAGTACACACACAGGGAAGCCAGTTCCATCTTCGCTCACCCTCCTCCCTCATGCCCGATCTCCCTCCTCCCCGCCACACCACCCTGCTAGCTCGCCTCCCGCTGCTGCGGCCACCAGCAGCACCTTACCTACCTCGCCCATCACCACTCCCATCTCTTCGCTCCAGATCACCTCCCCTCCCCCCTTGCCCTCCACACCTCCCTTTACCTCCGCCCTCCGCTCCCCTCACGCCATTGCTAAGGCCCGTGCTCGTGCCCTAGCACTCGCCAACTCCCTCTCACTAGACCCTCCTGTACCGCCTGCTTCTACTGCTGCCACTGCTGCTGCTGGCCCCAGCAGCAGCAGCAGCAAGCACACACACACTATCGCGCACACCCATGGCAGCAGCACCAAAGCCCCCTCCACTAGCCCGTCAGAAGCTCGCTCAGGTAGCCCTGTCTCCCACCGCACCTACCCTCGCCACCGCAAGTCTCCCCCTGCCTCTCCCCACGCCCTTCGCTCCCCCGCGCACCCTGTTTTGCCCCAGCATGACGTAGGCGGAGGAGGGAGGAGAAGCAGGGATGGGGGGAAGAGGGGTGGTCCATTTAGGCAGAGGTCAGGGGAATGGATGGGGTGGGAGGAGAGAGAGGGAGAGGAGGAGGGTTCTTGGTCTAACGCTACTGAGATGGCACGAGCACAAAGTGAGCAGTGGGAGAGAGAGAGGGTGAGGGGAACTGGAGCAGGGGCAGCAGGGAAGAGAAGGGATTCGGGAGTGGGTGTGGGGGCTGGCAGGCGGGTGAGTGGTTCAGGCGAGAGGGAGAGAGATGGGGATGGTAGAGGTGAGGGGCATAGGCAGCAGCTGAAGCAGCAGCAAAGTGGTGAGTTGGAGGTGGTGGGCATAGGGAAGGGGCACATGGAGGGCACACGAGGAGGTGGCAGAGAGCACACAGGAAAGAGGAGAGACGTGAAGTTGCAGCTGGTGCAGCAGGTGCAGCAGGTGCAGCAGGTGCAGCAGGGCAACGGGTATGAGAACAAGAGAGAGCCTCTGGTTGTTAGTGTCAAACCCGCTCGCATGGCTGGTCGTATTCCTTCCCCATCTTCCCTTGCGCACACCTCACCTAAACCCCATACCCCAACAGCCTCGCACCCATCCCCTCAGCCATACCCCTCTTCACAGTCTTACCCATCCTCCTCACAGCCCCAGACCCTCATGCCCCCTCGCTCTCTCCTCTCGCCCCCTAACCAACTCCCTACCAGAGACCCCAGCCCCAGCCCTCGATCTCTGTACCCTCCAGCCCCCCCTTCCCCCTCCTCTGCCTCTACTGTCTCCCTCTCCTCCTCCTTCATCCGCCGCTTGCCCAGCCCCAGGGCCCTGCCAGGAGCACCTGCCCTTGCTTCTCCCTTTGCTCCAGCTGCCGCCGCTGCTGCTGCTGGAAGTGCAATGCCCGCAGCAACATCAAGCCAGTTCTCCCCCGCCCTTGTCTCTCCCCGTGCTGGCTCCTCCCTGCTGCCTTTGGCATCTCCAACCTACTCCCACACACCTCCTGCCTCCCTCAACCATTCCTCTTCTGCTGCACCACCAGCCTCTTCCCACTCGTCTCACTTCTCTGCCAGCCAGCCCAGGCTGCTCTTTTCCACCAGCAAGGGCCCTGATTCTGTCACACCTGCTGCCACAGTGGCAGGGGCGGGTATGAGAAGTGGAGTCAGCTCAGTGGGTGCATCTGGTGCAGGTGGCAAGTGGGCAGGCAGTGGTGGCAGTTATCGCAGCAGTGACGGGCACACCCCAGGGAGTGTTCAGTCGCATGCTTTAGGGATGAGGGGTGGTGTGGGCAGTAGCAGCAACGACAGGGTCACTGGCAGTGGCGGCGGTTTCAGCCAGGGTAAACTTTCAGTGCATGCAGATGGGGGACCAGTGCCTGTTCAGCCACCTACGAGCCCGCTCTCTCAAATTAAAGCAGCTGCCAGAAGTCTCTCCCCTCTCCGATTGGTGAGCTCCGTCTTTTCTTGCACTTGCCACTCTGGTTGCAGCCTTCGTGCATATTGGTTTCATGCTTTTGACATGCTCTCTCACCGTTTGCTTACTCTGTGCCCGTGCTTTGTGCTGTATGGCTTCTCCTGTTGTTGCATTGCAGCATGCAAATGGGCGGGCTTCTGACCAGGAAAGAAGAAGAATGCCAATTCGCCTCTTTTCACCCTCTTGAACTTGGCTAGGCGGTCTTGTGCGAAGCCAGGCATGCGTCAAGTTTTACAGTGCAGGAATGCGAGTGAACCTGATTAGTTCTATGTTGGAGTTTTGGAGCCTTATTGTAGTAGTCATTACTAAGGGCCCACATAGTTATAGTGGGAACTTGACGCTGTAATGAGCCTTTATCTATTGCTGTAGAGGATTATTTTTTTGTGAAATGTGAGCGTAGGGTGTGGTGAATCGAAGCTTCTGCAGAGAAGAAGATGACGTCATCATGCACTGTCGTGCGGGCTGTCATGTGTTGACGACATAGGGAGCCACCACATCAACCCCACTGCAACATTTCGGGGGCTCCTGTTCACATTCGAAGTTAATTTTTTCGTCTTGTATCATTGTTTTTCTCCTAGAAACCATGGCACCAGTCCTCACCTTAGAGCTGTCGCAGGGGCATGGCGCCGTGGTGCTGGTGGCAGTGGCTACAGGAATCCTTAATTTTTGGATGAGTGCAGGCGTGATGTCAGCGAGGAAGAAGTAAGGATGCTGGCGATGGGTGATGTATTAACTGTCTGCGGATCTGCTGCACCTTGCTTACAATCTTTTTCTTTGCCGCGTGTCGTACGGTTACAGGTACAACGTTCAATACCCGATTCTGTACGCATCTGAGTCTCACAAAAACGCCAAGGAGTTCAACTGCGTGCAGGTGCGATATCCGTGGAGATCTTTGCGTTCGCGAAATGTGCACCCGCTCGACCATTTCTGCGCCTGTTGAATAACGGTTTATTTCCCGGAAATGGAGGATGTGTTGTTCTTTATTTGTTATTATGCCTCCCCTGTCTTGCACCGCAGAGGGCGCATCAGAACACCCTTGAGGTTCTTCCGTCTTTCCTTGTGTTCCTCCTCATTAGCGGCGTTGCGGTAAGCTTTCCTTGTCTACCAATAACTCTGCCCCCACACACCACGTGTTGAGTGCCTTTCCTTTCTTCCCTGCTGCACATCACCATGCCCTCACGACCTGCTTGCGTCGTTTAACGCCGCCTTTCCCTTTCACCCATCGCAGTATCCGTGGACATCCACTGTACTTGGGGTTATCTTCCTGCTTGGGCGCATTGGCTACTTCCTTGGTTACTCCACTGGCAGGCCCGAGGCTCGTTACAATGGAGGGTAATTCTCCCCTCCCCATATGCTCAGAGCACCTCATTTCTCCCCCTTTCCCTATCTCGCTTCCCTTGTTCGCTCTCCCCCCCTCCCTCGCTCTCCTCCTGTTGTCCCCTCCATTTCTGCACATCCCTTTTCGTACCTCTTGTTTTTTTTTGCTCCTAGGTCTTGGGAGATAGCAATCCCATAACCCACTTGCCATTCACACGATGTGCTTGTTTGAACTTTGCAGATTTTGGATGATTGGATTTTTGGGCCTCATGGTCAGCAACATAATTTTTGGTCTTACGATCCTTGGTGTCCTTCAACATAAGGTGTAGATTGTGCATGGTATTATTGGTGGACGGCGGAAACTTTTATTAGCGAGAACATATATTGTAGCAGGAGATTTGGCCTGTAATGATGTAATGCTAGAGATCAGCTTATTAGGGATGATCAGGATGTTAGTTGCAAGGCTTGTGGAGCACTTCCAGAATAGATTAATGATATCGTAGTGAGATTCCTCGAAGCATCAAAAGGGGGACGAATCCAACTAGTTCCGAGGACCAGCCTGACAGCCAACCAGGTGCGGCCACCAAGATAACCAAAGCATCCCCCAAAATCTTTGAACCAATAACAGCAAAGAGCGAGCGGACTCTTGCCAATCGATCGAGTCACGATTGTTCTTGTCAAACTGGCAACGATTGGCTGGCGTTGCTTCCAACTGCGCCGCGCTGTCGCTCCCTGCCGCTGCACTGCCTCCTCCTTGCGCTCTAGAGCAGTCCCTTGTCCACCCACCCGCCCCTGCCAGTCTCCTGTACCCGGACGCCCCAGAGCAGTTACCCCTGCCCCCTTATTTTCTCAATTCCTCCCCCTGTTCTCCGCGCCTCCCCTCGCCCCGCACCTCATCCACATTCCCCGGACTCCTCCCGACTCGGTTCCCTGATCCTGGCTGTCAGCCCATTCTAGATTTTGCCGTGCTTCCACCAAAGTCACGTCACTCAGCAGTAGCATTGTTCCACGCAGACTTGGCTGGCCCGTAAGCCATTCTCCTGTTATCCGTGCTTGGAATTGGCTTAGGGATTCTGATCCTCGGCATTAGACAACTGGCATCGCCGCCATTAAGATTTAATTTGGCGACATAGAAATTTGAAAGCTGCGCCTTTTTCTTATCAGCCGCGTGAGCAATGTCGTCAACCAGTTACAAGCTCGGCATCGCCGAGGTCGCGCGGTCGCACGCTGCGCCGCCGCACTCGTCGCTGGTCGTCCGATCGTCCTCCTTGGGCGCATCCAACATGCAACCCCTCTCCACCTCCCGCAGCCCCTTCCTCTCGGGAACAACCCCCGGCGCAGCACTCCGCGCGCGCCGAAACGGGGGAGCGGCAGCCGCGTCTGGTCCGGTGAAGGTCGAGGGGAACCTGTGGGACGACCTGCAGCGCGCAGCGACGGGCAAGGATGCGGGGAAGGCGGAAGACCTGGACAAGGGGAAGAAGAAGTATGGCCGCGAGACCGTGCAGTACAAGCCGAGCCGCACGGTGGCTGGGCGGAAGAGCTCGGGGAGCGCAGCTTCCGGCGGCGGAACTACCTTCCTTAGCAGGTCCCCCAGCTCCTCCGCACGCAAGGGCACGCAGTACGCAGTGCGGGCTGCGGGGAAGTCAAGCGGAGGCACGCAGCTGATCGTGCTGGGGGGAAAGGGCAAGGACAAGGGGAAGGGGGCGCGCAACGGGAACGGGGAGGGCGGAACTCAGAAGCTGCTGGCGGATGTGACGTCTGGCCTGGGGCTATCGCTGGGCGGCAATGGCGGCGCGCAGAGGGACGGCAAACTGGTGTTCGTGGTGGGCGCCGGCAGCAGCGTGGGCGCCGCCACTGTGAGGTGAGGGGATCATTCCATGGTTGGGGGGGAATTACGGTACGGGCGGGATGGGGAAGGGGATGGGCGCGGGGGTGGTGGGAATGAGCACGGGGATGGGGGAGGGAGGAAACAGGGGAAGAATTAACGCGTGGGATGGGGCTGGGTTGAGGAATGGGGCAGAGGGTGGGAGAAAAGAAAAGGGATGTGAGGAGCCAGTGATGCAAGAGCAAGGCACGGTAGCGAGTGTCATGTTTGGCACCACATGTACATGCAGCCTTCATGCTTGATGAAGGATGCACGCCTCTCCACGTTGACACGAATCTCCGCACCCATCCTGCGCCGATTCCCCGTGTCAGGGAGCTCGTCCGCTTGGGGTACCGCGTGCGCGTGCCGGCCAACGAGGCGGACGCCGCCCAACCGCTGCTCGCTGACGTGAGTTGCCGCGGGGCCGCCGCACTTTCGCCAGCCATCCGCGTCATTTCGTTTCCGCTTAATTGCCTCCTATCCATGTCTTACTTCTTCTCTCCATCCCTGCTCCGCGCCCTTCGCGCTGCGCCCTCTTTATTCCTCTCCCTTCGTACGCTCCTTTCATCCTCCCTGCCTCCCGCCTTGTGCCGCCATTGGTTGTGCTGCACGCGTCTCACCCCCCATCTCCGTCTGTGACATGTGTGTGTCCTCACTGCACGTGTATTGCTTATGGTGTCTGATGTGTATGTGCCTGTGCCTGGGCCTGTGCGTGCCTGTGTGTGAATGTGCGCGCGCCTACGCATGTACATGGGTTGCCACCGCTATCAGCTGCCCGAGCCGCCCAAGGGTCTCTTTGACGTACGTCACACACCTTGCCCTCCGCCACTTCCGCTTCTTCCATTCCCCTGCTCCGAATTTCCTCCTCAAATCGCCTAATTAAAGGGAACGAGGAAAAGGAATTAAATATTTTATTCCGCTATATGACTTTCTCCTACCTTCACGATCCCTATCGTCACTCCGCCCCTCTCTCGCATGTGTTTCCACTGTCGCCGCCACATCCTGCTACTATCCGTCCTCCCCTTGCCCATCATCATTCCTTCCTCCCCCCGCTCATCTCGCCCCTTCCCCCGCCGTCCCCCCGACCGTTTCCCCCCTCCCGCCATCCGCGCAGATGTTTCTCCCCGGCGGCGCCAGTCTCCCCGTGGTGGAGTACGCGGAGGGGCTGGGCGCGTGGCCGCTGGGCGCGGGGGTGATCGGCGCGGAGGACGCCATGCGCGGCGTGGGGAGCGTCGTGTGCGTCGCGGACAGCCTTGACTCTAGCGTCATCAGAGCGGGTTAGTGAGGGGAGTGGGCAGGTGGAACGGGGGAGGGGGGGGGGGGGGGGGGGGGAGAAGATGGGGGAGGGGAGCGCGGGGATGCGCGGGATAGTTGGGCGGTGCTGTGGCTGGTTGATTGTACGGTGCTACCTGCTTTCCCCTCTCACTCCCTCGCCACCCCTCGTACCTCTCTCACTCTGTCAACTCGCTCGCCTCCTGTGCGGCTCTCCCCTTCTCCCCCTCTCTTCCCCCGCCCTCTTCCCCCCGCCTCTCTTCCCCATCTCTTCCCCACCTCTTCCCCTCCCCCCAATCACTGCGCAGCGGAGGAGCTGCAGGTGCGGCGCTTCGTCCTCGTGCTACCGCCCATCAACAACCCCCTCGCCAAGTAACCTCGCCTGCTACCCTCCCTCCCTTTCCCCTCGCTACCGTCTGTCCGGCCTTCCCTCGCTACCCAATTGCGCCTTCACAAATTTCCCTATCTACCCCTTCGCCTCCCTCGACCCGCCATGTCGTGAGATAGCATGGTGCACTTACCGTGCGAGGTCAACACGTCCTTTTCCTTGTGCGCTGCTGCCTTTTAACAAATAACAAAGCGCACCCAAGAGCATTCCTACGTTTTTTACCAAGCCTTAATGATTTCTACACGATTCTCACGTGATTCCTGGTTGATGTCAAGCTTTCACCAGTGCGCCTGCATCAAAAAGCATCCCCACCACTCAGTAACCGTCTCAACCGAACCACACCTTTCCACCTTAACACCCGCATCTCTGTCCGTCCGCATCCTCTGCGTGCCCACCCACCCACCCCCGCCCGCCCGCCGTGCTGGCCGCCAGGCTGTTTGAAGCGGCGTCGTGGCAGGCCAAGGCAGAGCAAGCACTCGCTGACTCCGCCCTCGACTTCACTGTACGGCACCCCCCCTCTCTCTCTCTACCTTCTGGTCGTCCTCCTCTCCTTCTCTCCCCCCCCCTCCCCTCCCCTCCCCTCCCCTCCCCTTTCCTCTCCTCCCCTCCCCTCCAACCTTTTCCGTTCATCACCCACCTGTCTCCTCTTCTGTCGCTTACACCGTACCTGCAGTTATTCCATCCCCACACCACTTCCCTATGAACGCCCTCCCTCACTCGCTTACCTTTTCTTTCCCCGGACCCTCCGGAACCGCCGCACTTCCCCGTTTTCAACCCCTAGGTCATCCGCACGCCTGCCATCGTCGAGTCCCTCCCAACAGCCTCCGCCCCTTCCCCCTCCGCGCCTGCTGACTCCGCCTCCTCCCCCACTTCCTCCTCCTCTACCTCCGCCGACTCCCCCCCCGCGCCCTCCCCCTGCGTGGCGCTGCGCCTAGGGCCCAACGCGCGAGGGTCCATCTCAGAAGGCTGGCCCTCAGGTGCCATCTCGCAGAAACAGGTGCGGGGGGAGCGGGGACGTGGGGGGAGAGCGGGGAGAGGGAGCGGGGAGGGGGTTGAAAAATGGAGAGGAGAAGAGGTGGAAAGAGAGAGGGATGTCTGGGATGGAGGGGAGGATTTGGGGGAAAGGATGGGAGGTGAGGAGAGAGGCAAGACACACAAACAGCGAAACTTGGACTTGTTGGAGACTCAAATGTGCTGGCTGAACTTCTCCGTTTATAGAGAGTACAGATTTGCTGGTTACCACAGATCTTTATGTGGCCTTGTCTGGGTCGGCGATGGGCATGCAGTCCTTGCATCCCGTCCTCTCACACGCTCATGCTCCTGCCGTCACATGCTGGTTGGCTGTCACGCCACACAGCTTTTACAAGTGCACGGAGCAGAATCACACCACCCCCACCCCCACCCCCACCCCCATCTCCCACCTCCCATTCTCGTCATGAATCTCTCTTCCAACTCCCCACACCATGCATTCTCGCCCGTGCCTGCTGTTCTCCACTCGTGCACCTGCCCCCGCGTGCCCTTCCACTCGGTGTGGAGAGCAGGTGGCGAGGGTGGTGGCGGGGGTGCTGAAGGAGGGATCCCCGCGCCTCAAGCGCCAGGTGGTGGACGCCGTGGTGCTGCCGTCCGCGTCCCCCCAGCCCTCCGTCTCCGCGCTCATCGATGCAGCGCTCTCCCAGGCCGCTGCTGCTGCTAAGGCTGCTGCCAAGCCTGCGACTGCTGAGGTGAGGGGTGTTGTAGGTAGGTAGATCTCTTAAGTCGACTCAAAAGTCGCTCTCCCAGGCCGCCGCTGCTTCTAAGGCTGCTGCCAAGCCTGCGCCTGCTGAGGTGAGGGGTGTTGTAGGAGATCTCGCAGTGTGGGGGAGGGGAGGGGGGCGGATAACGTTGGTAGATGGGTAGAGGATGGATGAGAATGTGGCACTCTCATGGAGACAGGTCAGGGTACTGGTGTAGGGCAGGTCTGCTAGTTTCCACACGGAGTGCAGCAACATGCGCGTGCTACTTAGGTTGACGGAAACGCCACACACACAGTAGTTCCTTCCTGGTGCATGCGTCACCCTGATGTGATGCTCTCCACCCATTCGTGTGACTGTTCCCCGTGTGCGTGTGTGCCTTTCCGTGTGTATGTCCGCGCCCATTACCACAGGCGTCTGCTGCCCCTGCCAGCCCCAAGTTCAAGCTGCCAGCCATGGCCATGCCCACTGCCCTCACAGGCAACAGCGCACCCAAGAGCGACAGCAAGGAAGCGAAGGGTAGCAGCAACGACGCAGGCAAGGAGAAGGAGAAGGAGAAGGCAAGCGAGAAGGAGAAGCTTGGTGTCAAGGAGGCGGAGAATCTCCTCTCACGCTTCACCAAGCCCAGGGGCGCCCCTGCAGTGGAGGAGCCCGCTCAGCCCGCCTCTGACCCGGTAGCGCGCGCCCAGGAGGCTGTAGCCAAGGCCCAGCAGCAGCTCGCACAGTCCCTTTCCCTGCCCTCCCTCTCCTCCTCCTCCTCCTCCTCCTCTGCGTCTGGCACCAAGAGTGGCACGCAGCGCGGGGGGACTGTGCGCATGGGTGTGCAGAAGAATGGTGGGGTGAAGGCGGGCGTGCGGAGGGGCGGCACCAAGGTGATTGACAAGCGTGCACAGCAGAGGAGGAGCGTGGCAGGGAACGCGGCGCAGAGGCAGAGGCAGCAGCGTGGGCGCAAGGCAGAGGAGAGCGAGGAGGGGGGGATTGATCTGCTGGGGTCGTGGGTGCAGGGCATCCAGTCGTTTGATGGACAGCTACCCTCTGGACCAGTCAAGAGGCAGGCTCCTGCTCTCGCATGGCTGCAGTCACTGTGAGCCCCCGCTGCTGCTGATTGCTGGTGCCGCAGCTTGCTGTTGCTGCTTGTTGCGCTGTGCTGAGTGCTCGTTGCCAACCAACCTTGGCCCTCTGCTGCACTCCTCTCTCCCTGCAATCGCACTCATCTGTTCGTTGCAATATGACTCCATAGGCTTACGTAATGTCTCCTTGTTCAATCCTCTGTGTCATCCTCTGTCATGTCATCGCCTGTGTGCCTGCCCCTCTGTCTGCATCCCCCAGGCTGCCACAGGAGGAGGAGGAGCCACAGCCAGAGGAGCAGGGACCCCTGGCAGCAGCCCGGCGCCTCTTCTCCCCCGCACCCCCTCCCCCACCCGCTCCTAAGCCCCCAACTGGCGCCGCTGCCATCGCCTCCTCGGCTGCTACTGCTGCCGCTGCTGCTGCCGTGGTGACGGCATCTGCTGCCGTGTCTGCAGTCGCTGGCCTTGCGCAGGTGGTCACTCCATCGCCCTCCTCCTCTTCCCCCTCAACTTCTGATGCTGATTCTGCTGGAAAGGACGCTTCCCCTGCTGCTGCAGCTGGGTCTGCAGAGGCTGAGAGCGGCAGCGAGGGGGGCATGCAGGGAATGAGGGCGCTCGCCGGCGTTGCAGCAGACGCACTGAAGGATGCGGTGGCGAGTGCGGCTGACATGGTGAAGGTGGAGAGTGTTGTGGATTCCAAGGAAGAACCTGCCAAGCCTCCTGCTGCCACACCTGCTGCACCTGCTGTTGCTCTTGCTGCGGCTGTCACTGCTGCCGTCCCTGCTGTCACCAGTGCTCCTGCCCCCTCTGCCACTCGTGCAGCTCCTCCTGCTGCTGCTGCTGCTCCCGCCGCTGCTGCTAAGGCTAGTAGCGCGAGTGTGGTAGCAGCAGAGAAAGAGGTGGTGAAGGAGAAGAGTGCAGAGGAGATTGCTCGGGAAGAGGAGGAGAAGCGCAAACAGGAGGAGGAGAGGAAGAAGGCAGAGGAGGAAAAGAGGATTCGCGAGGAGGCAAGGAAGAAGGAGGAGGAGGAGAAGAAGAAGAGGGATGCAGAGGAGAGGAAGAAGAGGGAGGAGGAGCGCAAGGCACGAGAGGCTGAGAGGAAGAAGCGGGAGGAAGAGAGGCGTGTGCGGATCGATGCGGAGTGGAAGGCTCGACAGATGGAGAGGAAGCGCATGGAGGAGGAGGAGAAGAAGAGGCAGGACGCGAGGAGGCTGATGGAGAAGAGGAGGCAGGAGGAGGAGGCCCTGAGGCTGGCCCAGCTGAGACAGCAGCAGGCAGAGGAGAGGCGCAAGCAGGAGGAGGAGAGGCGTAAGAAGGAGGAGGAGAAGAAGAAGCAAGCAGAGGCGGTTAAGAAGGAAGCAGAGGAGAAGAAGAGGAAGGAGGAGGAGGAGAAGCGCACAGTGGTAATGAAGGCTCAAGAGGAGGCGATGCAGGCAGCCAGGAAGCTGGAGGAGGAGGAGAGGAAGCGCAAGGAGAGGCTCTCGTACCCACAGCCATCAAAGCGCGAGTCCGAGGGCGTGGTGTTCGTCACAGGGTAAGAGCTCGGGGTGTGTGGGTTGGGGGGGGGGGGGGGGGGAGGGGACTACATGGGGTGCACATTTGAGTGGTGTTGGTCGATTTGATGTTTGTTGCATATGTGTGAATGACTGTCATTTGTCCAACTAATCTCATCCTTCTCCCACACTAAGATCTTTCCCTGTTCTGCCCTTTTCCCACCCTCCAGCAACACTACACCTGGCCGGTACTTCACTCTTAAACCCATGGCAGAGCGCAAGAATCAGTAAATGAAGGTATCACAGTAACCTTCCAGCCAAATGGGGTGGGTTGGAGGTGGTGGTTTGTTTTCTTTTCTTTGGTGTGTTATATTTTCAATAATAGTATAACTGTAACATTAGTCAAACTTGATCAGTATAGTCTATGTAAGTAGTTTTTTGTTTTGCCGCCTGATACGGTAGGAGATGTGATTTTTAAAAGTGGGATGAGTAAAAATCTATGGGAGTAACATTCGCGTACTCTTGCCAAGAAATCAGACTCTGCTTTTGGCGCGTATGACCTGAATTTCTCGGGGAAAATATGTCACAAGTAACCAACATGGCACTCGATAACGTGAATGGTAAAAAAGTAGCGCATACGGACACTGTATCAGGTTTGCTGACGGGTTTGGTAAGTGGGGTCACGGATTCAGTCACTAACAACAGGTGAAAAATCACGCGAATGGTCACACATGTAACTCCCACCAAATTTTCTTGAAACTCTACAAAATTCCCGCTCGCGCCCAACCAATCAGCTAATTTCTCAAAATACTAAAACCCGATTGGAATCGGATGCGGTTTGGGAATGGATCAACCCTAAACACCTGGCGAGTTGTGTTTAGGGTTGATTCATCCGAAAATGCATCCAGGTTCGTTTTGGGTATTATCTTTTTTGGGCGGGAGTTTCATCTGTGACCATTCGCGTTATTTTTTCCCAGTTGATTGTGACTGATTCTGTGAAACAATTTATCAAACACGTGAAAACACCCTTTGCAGTGACTGTACCCGTTATTTTTTTATCTAACATATTATCGAGACCCTTGTTGATTACAAGTGGCATATTTTCCCAATTTCTCGCCTCGATGCATCTTCCTCATCACTGATCATTCATGCGCTGTTTCCCGCCAATCGCCACATCCATATCCTTCCCCACGCCTCCATCCCTCTCCGCAAATCGCTTCCCTCCTTCCATCCGCGTGCCCCCTCGCCTTGACCTGTCTCGCGCCAGCCTCCTAAATTTGGGTCGTTTTTGTGAATCCAGATTCTAGTCTCATCACTACCATCAGTTACTTGAACCACTACCACGAGCCTCACGACTGCCTCTCGCCGTCCCGTGTCGTTGATTACTCTGCATGCTCGGTAGATCTCGCCTTACTTGATCCGCCCGTTCGCGCATCGGCCGATTCCGTGCAATGGACAGCGGCAGCAACGCTTCCCCCGAGGATCCCGACAAGCCGCACGCGACTTCGGGATCGTCGGGGAAATCTGCTGAGGAGGCTCTAGCGTCGTTGACGGTGGCGGGGTCGCAGGATAGCGGCAAGGGCGCAGCGTCTAGTTCAGGGGGGGATAAGGGCAAAGCCGTCGCCGCAGCAGCCGCCGCCGCTAAGCCCGCGGTGCCAGCGCCTCTCAGCGGGCCTCTCGCGCTCATGTCGCAGCTCATGGGTCAGCAGCCGCGCCGCCATCTCTTCTGGGAGACGCAGCCCGTCGTCGGCGGCACGGACGGCACGCCGGCTCAGGCAGTAGCTGCGGACGGCGGCGGCAGCGAAGCCGCCGGGAGCGAAGCCGGCAGCAGCAGCAGCAGCAGCGGCGGTGATGGCGGTGTTGTCGCCGGCGTGGATGTTTCGGAGGAGGGCCCGATCGAGCCGCCGACTCCGCTGGAGCAGGTCCGCGCGGAGCCGTACGCGCTGCCGGCGGCGTACGAGTGGTGCACGTGCGACGTGGATAGCGACGCGGAGATGCGCGAGGTGTACGTGCTGCTGACGAATAACTACGTAGAGGACGACGATAACATGTTCCGATTCGACTACTCGCAGGAGTTCCTTCGCTGGGCGCTTAAACCTCCGGGATTTTACAAGTCGTGGCATGTGGGTGTGCGCGCGCGCCAGTCGCGCAAGCTCGTCGCGTTCATCACGGGGGTTCCCGCCACGGTGCGCCTCCGCGAGAAGCTGGTCCGCCTGGCGGAGATTAACTTCCTCTGCGTGCACAAGAAGCTGCGCTCGAAGCGCCTCGCGCCTGTGCTGATTAAAGAGGTAACGCGGCGCGTGCACCTGCAGGGGATCTGGCAGGCCGTGTACACCGCAGGGGTGGTGCTGCCGACGCCTGTGACCACCGCGCAGTACTGGCACCGATCGCTAAACCCGAAGAAGTTAATCGACGTGGGGTTTTCGCGCCTCGCGCCGCGAATGACCATGTCGCGAACCATCAAGCTGTACCGGCTGCCGGACCAAACCGCGACGCCCGGGCTGCGCGCCATGGAGCGGCGCGACGTGCCGGCCGTGTGCCGGCTGCTGAAATCGTACCTCGCGCAGTTCGTGATCTCGCCGGAGCTGAGCGAAGCCGAGATAGAGCACCTGCTGCTGCCGATTAAAGACGTAATCGACTCGTTCGTAGTGGAGGATCCTAAGACGCACGAGCTGACGGATCTAGTCTCCTTCTACACGCTCCCGTCGACGATAATCGGGAACGACAACTACAGCAACCTGAAGGCGGCGTACTCGTTCTACAACGTGGCGACGGCGACGCCGCTGCTGCAGCTGATGAACGACGCGCTGATCCTGGCGCGGCGGCGCGACTACGACGTGTTCAACGCGCTGGACATCATGCAGAACGCGCAGTTCCTCAAGACGCTCAAGTTCGGCCCCGGAGACGGGCACCTGCACTACTACCTCTACAACTACCGCATGCACGGCCCGTTTCAACCTGCGCACCTCGGCCTCGTGCTGCTCTGACCGCTCCTTGTGCTGCTCCCTGTGCCCGTCCGCGCCGCTGCCCGTGGCGCACGTGCTTGTGGCAGGCAATGGAGCCCGTCTTGTCATGTGCAGCAGCTCTTACTGCTCGTACAGCCAGCCACCTCTGCTGCGGCTCTCTTGCTTCCCCCCTGCCCGCCTCTACCTCCCCCCTTTGCCCTGCCCACACCTTCCCCCACCCCCACCTGTCCCATGTTCCCCCTCCCTCTCCCCTGGCTGCCTCTTTCCCCACAGCTTCCCTTAGCTGTGTGCATGGCTTGGAGCATGCATGCAGCAATCAGTGACAGGTCATATTGTATGAGCCGTTTCCCAAGTTGTTGGTAGTCCAACCACACACCCTCCTAGTACACTTCCGGTGTTAGATTGCTTACTAGCTGTTGTGGTCTGGACTGCAGGGGTTGCAGATCACAACATCTCTAGGTTTCACCACAGTGCTTCGAGACAATGTTCTTGAACCTTTTGTGCGAACGAGACTGATATGTACTGTAGAGCTATCAAGCATTGTCATGCTGGTTACAAAGAAGCCGAGTTTCAAAGATTTGGAATGCCTTTCCCTGCGGCAGGTCTTTCATGCCTGTTTTGTAGTACCGGTACAACACACAGCAATCCACAGCAGGCGGGCTGCGCAATCCGCTCTGCCCACACTTTATGCCTTCTCCAGTTTCAGGAGTGCAACAGATGCTGCTGCTGCTCCTGCTGCTGCTCCTGCTGCTGCTGCTCCTCCTGCTGCTGCTGCTGCTCCTGCTGCTGCTCCTGCTGCTGCTCCTGCTGCTCCTGCTGCTGCTCCTGCTGCTCCTGCTGCTGCTCCTGCTGCTCCTGCTGCTGCTCCTGCTGCTGCTGCTCCTGCTGCTCCTCCTGCTGCTGCTCCTGGTGCTGCTGCTCCACCTGCAACCCCATGGTCAGGTGCAGGGGAGCAGGAGGCGGCGGGGGCAGCAAGCAGAGCCGCCATGCCATGCGCTGCTCTAGCAGCCATGTGAGGGCGGTTGCGGAGGACCCTGGCAGAGGCAGCGAAGAAGTGCTCCTGTATGGGGCACACAGGGGTGGGCAGCATGGGGAGAGGTGGGCGCTGGGCATACAGAGGCTCGCACAGGGAAGTGTGTGGAAACAGGGGAATGGGCATGTCGCGTGGGTGGGTGCATGAGCATGAGTGAGTGGCCGTAACGCATGGGTGAGTGGGTGTCGGCATGGGTGGGTGGGCATGGGTGGGTAGGCATGGGTGGGGGAGTGGGCGTACAGCATGGTGAGCAGCAAGGCGGACGAGCAGGCGGCCAGTGCACTCCTCTAGCACCAACACCAGCCCTGCTGCCCACTGCTTCCCCCCCCCACTTGCTCCCCCGCATCCCCCCTCCTGCTCCCCCTGATTTGCCTTTCCTCTGTCCCTGTCCACACCCCCTCTTTTTTCCCATCCCTGCCTCTTCCGCTTACCCCGAACCATCTCTCCATCCACCTGCACACCCTTGCTCCTCGTCTCCCCATGTACTTCACGCACATTGGTCCCCTCACTACCATCACCACCACCACCTTCCCCACTGCCATCACTGCCACCGTTACTTGTACCCGCATGCCTCTCATCAGCCCTCATTCGCCCATTCATGGCATTCATGGGGGAGGGAGTCCCCAAGGGAGGTGCAGGGGAGGCAGAGGGAGCGGCGGGGGAAGCCGCGGAAGCAGGGCGGGGCTTGGGGGCCAAGAATGCGGTGAAGTGGCGGGGGTGCAGGTGAGACGCGTAGATGACCCGGGCGGCACAGCAGAAGCGGTAAGGTACCTGCAACGATGGCACAGAGGCGACAAACATGGCAGGGAGTTTGTTGTTACACATATATACATGTATATGTGACATTATTCTTATGTGCATCAACAGCAGTGGCAGAGAGCAATGCATAAAGTTACAGCAGCAGCAGCAGCAGCAAGGGGCTCACTTGAGGGTGGCAGTATATTTGGCGGAGAGTGGAGTATGGCTGCAGTGGTCGCGCTACCCCTGGTGTTGCACGTTGGGACGTGCAGGGGTAAGGGTAGGAGGAGAGAGGCAGGGTAGACAGTGCGTGGGATGGGCAAAATTTTAGGGCAGAAAACAAGAGCCTTGCAGGCTGGAAAGAGTAGAGAAGGAAGAGGCGGGGAAGGGAAGTGGTTACGAAGCAAGCAGCAGTAAGCAGTGCACAGAGAGGGCAACTCACTTGTGATGGCAGCTGTGCTTGAACACTGAGCAAGCGCGCCCATGCGTGTCAGTGCATCCCCACATGCCTCCCTTTCTGCATACCTCCTGCCATGGGCCATGCACAGAGGGACACGCACAGCCCACCACCAAGCCAGCCATAGCATATGGGGCGCGCATGCGAGCAAGGGAGAGAAAGAGGGAAGAGAAAGGAAGTGAGAGGGAGAGCGCGGGAGCACAACAAGGCACACAACGATACCAAATACCACCTTCCCTCCTTTCCCCTCCATCTCCTCCTTTCCCTTCGCCTCCCCCCTCCACATCAGCACCCTTTACTGCACTTTCTCCTTCCCCCCTCCACCTCTTCAACTCCAACACCCCTTCTCCTGCGCACCTCATCACGTGCGCCACGTCAGCATAGTGCTCCTTCACAGGGCTAACCCTGCTCTCACCGCCCAGCAGCCCCACCCACTCGCCCTCCTGCTTCCATGCCCCGCGCACCATCTGCAGCAGCACCCAGCTCGGCACAACCCCCTCCCGTGCCCTCTCCTCCCCTCCCGCCTCCTTCCCCTGCTCCCCTGCTTCCTCTGCTCCCCTGTGTGTGAGGCGAACGGGTCGAGGCACGGAGGGGGGGGAGCAGGCGGAGCAGCAGGTGGTGCGGGTGGGAGACGAGGCAGACGATGGGGAGGAGAGAGCCCAGTGGGGGGAGGGCGTGGAGCACACAGGGCGGTGGGCCCACACGATTGCCAATAGAAAACACCGGGTGCTTGCTGCTGCTGCTGCTGCTGCTGCTGCTGCTGCTGCTGCTGCTGCTGCTGTTTTGCACCGCTGTTGACGCTTGCTGCCTTGCTGCCGCTGGTTCTTGTGCTGGTGGTGTAGGTGGTGCTGGCGGTGGTCTAGGTCGTGGCATGGCATGGGGAGCAGGAGCGCTACTAGTACCACCTCCTTGCTGCTGCTTCACGGCAGGGATGGGCGCTGCAGGCCTGCACACACACATGCACAGAGGCAGGAATGCAAGCAGACAGTTGGGTTGGCGGGGTAACTGAACTATGGAGGGAAACGGCAAGCAGTTGCCATGACTGCTGCTTTCACACACTGATTAGTGTACAGTTTAATGCAGAAATAAGAACCACATGACGCATATTGATTCCACTTGTTGATTAGTGCACGGATAAATGTTGAGGACTCAGGGGATCACAGAATGGAAAAGAAAGTGGAAACGAAAAAGAGCATTGGCTGCCTGTGCAAGCACAGAGAGGGATGCATGGTGAGGGATGCATGGCTAAGTTGGAATAAACGCGTTTAGCATTTTGTACGCTCTCGTATATACGCGAGAGAATATACGCTAGACTCTGGCCATGAGGGGTCTGGTACGCACAAGAATACGCTTGCCCGGGCAGGGAAAAAACTTTTTCCCGGGCAGATTTTTGGGGGTAAGAGGTGGGGATGGGGGGGTGATGTAACCCCCATGGAGCCTTCCGCTAGTACTCATCGGCCATCACATCATCCTCCCCCACCTCAGGTTCTTCCACCTCCTCCTCGACGTTGTAGCCAGCCGGAGTGGGGGGGTCCTCGATGTTTCCCTTCACCACCCGCTGCCCTTCAGGGACCTTGTGCCAGTTATGCACAACCTGCCAATTGTGCGTCACATACACGAGGTCCCGAAGCTTCTCCGCGCCGAGCCGGTTCCGGCGTGCCGTATGCACGGCATCAAACTTCGCCCAGTTCCGCTCGCATGGTGACGCGGACACCGGCTGCGTGAGGGCGTGGCAAGCCATGGTGGTGAGCTCTGGATGTTCGATCCCGTGCCACGACCATCAGGCCACCGCGGTCAACTTGCCCTCCTTCACTGCCTCGTGGTCGGCAAGAGCGGCGAGCATGCCGAAGCTGCCTTGGAGGTTAAGGAAGGCATTGAGGCCTTCCTGGATGACGAGAGAGGCGCGGCGCTCGACCCCGTCCTACCTGGTGATCGTCTGGTCGTCGTAGTGCTTGGACACGTACTGCTTGAAGACCCTCGTGCACTCCAGGTCGGTGCGGAAGATGCCCTCTTCCTGGTTGGTCGGGTTGAGGATGCGGCCAACCACGTGCATGTTGCACGCCAGCCCATTGTCCCAGTGGTCCTGCACGATCTTCCGAATCCCCCCCACCTCTCCCCTTGGCAGGACCCCTTCCGCATGCTCGTTGAGGAAGTCGCGGATGTCCTCGGTGAGCTGGAGCGTAAGGTCGTAGAGATGACCCATCATGCCCTTCGCATCCGAGTCAGTCTTGCGCATGACGACGAACAGGAGCTTCATCAGCTTCGCGAAGAAATCGGTGCGCGTCCACCACGTGGCATCGATGATGTTGTCTTTGAAGGTATCTGCCCCAAACCTCTTTGCAGCCGTTGTCCACTCGCGCCACTCATCGCTGAGGACCATCTGCGTCAGGCCGGCACGCACTTCACAGAGGCGGTTAATGGCGATGTAGTTGGTGCCGAATCGGGTTCCCGCGGGCTTGAGAACCTGCTTCGCCTTGCCGCCGTTCACGAGCTCGCTCCGCATGTATCCACGGGTGAAGTGATGGTTGCGGACGAACGAGATGAGGGTGTCCCCGCGCGTGACGATGTCCTTCGCCCATCCCATTTTCCCGATGTCCTCCATCAGGAGATCAAGGACATGGGTCGTGCAAGGGATGTGTTCGACGTGGGGATACTCCGTCATCAACTCCCTGCATGCCGCCGCGTAGTTGGAGCCGCCGTCAATACACAAGGCAACGACGTTCTTGGGGCCAACTTTCTCGATGATGGGGCGCAAGATGCCCGCGATGTAGCCGCCGGTCTTCATCTCCATCTTGGTGTCGATCGACTCCACGAACACCGCTCGTTGATGAGGAGCACATTGGCTTGCGGGCGGCCGGCCTTGTCAGAGAACATGTCGCTTGCCACGGTGACACCGTCACAGCGCCAGCTTGCTGAGATAGGAGCGAGAGCCGCCTCAAACATCTACACACATCTCTCTCTCTTGAACGGCCCATCGTATTAATATCACCAAGGTACACACAAGGTAAGGCAACATCTACACACAGCCAAGCTACAGCAGCAATCTACTATCCTAGCACAACTAAAACCACCCCTTCCCCTTCCGGCCCTTGTAGCCGGAGGGGTCTTCAATCAGTTGGTACAGCTGGCCCTCGCTCAGTGGAGTAAACAGGCCCTGCAAGCCTAGCAAATCCACGGTAAGAGCCTCATGGGTCTTATCCCTGAGGGCGTTGGCTTGGGCTCTTTGCAGGGTCACGCTCCATCGCTGCCGGTACTCGGTAAGTAGCTTAGCCACCTCCCTCGACTTTGGAGCTGCGTTGAACCACCGCTTGCCCGCTAGCTCCGCGCAGCTGCGGAGGAAATCGAGGACTCCAGGTGAGAGGTAGCCGTACGTCTCTACAGCCATGACGTAAAATCCCACCCAAGCGCTCCGCCCGGCATATTTGCGCTCCTTCTTGTCCGCTTGCATCCTTGCCGCCCATCCGGGTGCCTTACGGGCCTGCTCATCCTGGTGGGAGACGGGGTCTGTGACTGTGATGTCACAAATCCATACCTCACCGGTGTCGGGATGGCGGATAGAGATATCCGCTTTGAGGTTTTCAACCGGTGAGTATGCCGTCGTCTCCTTGTGCACTGTGAAGCCTGCTTCAGCTGCTATCTTCGCGCATTCGTCCCCCCCCCTTTCTCACTCCGCATCAGGTGGTTCGGCAAGCGGTCGTCAGGGAAGGTGGTACGGTATCTGAAGTTGCAGCGTCTTGGCACAGGTAAGGGCAGGCCCAGGCGGAAGGAGGCCGCCGTGGAAAATTGAGAGGGCTCGAGGCGGAGGGAAGAGATTAAGGGGACAGCGTGCAACCAGTCCCCCGCCCCAGGGCCTAGGAGGGACTGCAGCCTCTGCGTATGGCCGGACAGCGTGTTCAGCTCCATGTCCCGCGAGCTATCCAGTAGCCTTATGTACCGGGCTGTGTGTACCGCGAGGGAGAGTGCCTGTTGGAGCTTGGGCCCATTAGGGTTTTGTCTCCCCACTTGGAGAGCCTCATTCCCGTCAGGCGGCAGCTCGACTTCCAAGGCAGCTAGGCGTCTCGGGAGGAGGGAGGTGGACTCCCCGTCAGCATCCATCAGCAGCAGGAGTCCTGTGAGAGCCGGGTTTGCTGAGTCGCCGAAAGAGCGCAGCAGGTGGGCGGCAGAAACGACTAATGCCAGGTAAGCAAATCCCCCCTCCACTGCAGGGTTTGTGATGCCGAGGCCTCGCAGAGACGCGGGCAGGGCGGCCTGCTGCCAGATTCTGTCCCTCTCTGCCCGGTCCCTGGGGATCGTTGTGTGTGCGGCAGCCAGGTAGGTGTGGAGCAGTTCTTCCCCCCAGGCGGACCATTCCCCTAGCGGCAGGGCCTCGAGCGGTGTGACTTTGACCAGGAACGAGGCGCGGCGACTCACACAGCGGGTGAGCAGTAGCAAGCATAGCTGCGGGTCCATCTGTGAGAGGAGCGGTAGCGGCTTGACTACTGCAGAAAGGCGTTCGCGCACTCGAGCAGCACAGCCGGTGGGTGGCCCAATAGGGCTGCCTAAAACGCGGACACCGTCCAGGGAGATTTTGATGCCTGGGGGTAAGGTGGCGGGATACAAGACGGTGGCGGACCATGCTTCGCACTTCGCCGGGTTGTGAGCCAAGCCGTGGCTGAGGATGGCCTCTGTGAGGAGAGTGAAGGCCGCCGTGCAGTTCGCCGCCTCGCCTAGCACGGTGATGTCATCTGCGTACGCGAGAAGCACCACCTCCGGATGAGCCGCTGCCGTGGCGACGAGACATGGGTGGATGCTGGTTGCGAATAGCATGGGTCCTAGAGGATATCCCTGGCGCACGCCTCGAGCGCTCTGAAGTGGCTCTGCTCCAAAGTCATGGTCGAGGTAGAGTGCAGATGAGCGGCCGTATGAGAGGCGGACAAGAGGCACGAGGAAGTCGAGGGCGGTGCCTTTCAGTCCCTCGAACACTGCCGCACGCTCCACTACGTTGAAGGCGTTTGCGAGATCGATTTGCAGAGCCGTCGCTCCTTGGAACTCCTCCAGGTAGGTGCGCGCAGTGTGTATCGCCGCTTCTATGCCTCCGGCGATCACTACTCCAAATTGGAGCGGGATGAAGTGCTCGCGCGCCACGGGAGCGGCTAGGAAAAGAGCCGCCTTGGCGATAAGGCGTAGCAGACATTCACCCACAGCTATCGGTCTCGTTCCGCCCTGTGGTTTCGAGAAAGCTAGTAGTCGCGACGCTGAGAGGAGATCTGCCGCCTCTGCACTCAGTTTTCCCGCTAGCGCCGTGTTGGTGAGTGCGTGTAGCTGCACTAAGACGTCGGCGTTCCCGAGTGCCGCATCTCTCAGGTGCTCGAAGGTGGTTCCTGAGGGCTCGGCTCCTACACCGTTCGGGCATCTAGCTAGCAAATGCCTGAAGTCACGGGCTGTGATTGAAGGTACAGTCTCAGAGGCGAAGTTGTGCACCCAGTCCGGTATGGCAAGGGTGGCCTTTGGATGCCTGACAGTGAGTGCACTAAGGGATCAGCGCTCTGCGTGAAGACGGGCGTGGCAGTCAGGGATTGGAGAGTTTTTGCCAGGTTTCCTCTTTTGGCCAACCCCTCGGCCCTCGCCAGCTTGCCCGTGGTGTCAAGTACGTGGCGTGGTTGGGGGTTGTTGGTGACTGCGTCCGCTGCCTCGTCATACAGGTCATGCCACAGGCCTTGGCGAAATTTCGTCAGTCTGTCGCCCATGGCCTTCGAGTCAGGTTTGCGGGCTGACGAGGAGCGCAGCAGGATACGTGGGAGAAACATCAGCAGCTTCCAACCAGGTGACGAGTCAGGAATTTTCGCCAGGTGGAGTAGTGGGGTCAGCAGACAGATTGCGAAGGATTCGCGAAGTGGGCGGGGTGGGTGGCGGGCGATGGGTGGCTGTCTGCTGTCGCGCAGGGGGCAGAGGTCCCAGTTGGCGATGTCAGCGAAGAGGTCCTGACGGCCCGCCAGGTCGTCAGCGCTGACGATTGGTGCAGGGGTGTCGGGGGTAGTGGTAACCCCAATGTTGGTGGCGGCTCGGTTTCCCCTCATGGCCCGATTTCGAGGGGTTCGAATTGCAAATGCGGTTCGGCCCCCAGTTGGAATTTCACCCACTCCTTGGGCTGGGTCAACCTCTTCTTCCTCTGTCGAGGGACTCGAACTCCCCTCCCTTTCGGGGATAGAGGGGTCACCCGCTGAGCCATTCCCAGAATCGTCACCAAGTGTCTCCCCTCCCTCCCTAGCTCTCTGCCGCAGGACCCGCTGTGCTGCTCTAGCGAAGCTACTTGCGCCTCTTCTTTGAGTCGTGGCGCCGCGCCCACGTCCACGGCGGATGCTGCCTCGTCCCACACGAATTCCCCGCGTTTCTCTTCCTCTTGCCGCCCCCGCGCGCCTTGTTGGGGGATCGGCGGCGACATCGTTCACTCTTTGACAGTGCGCTGGCGTCGGCGGCAGTGGTGCAGCGGAGGGTACACGAAGCGGCGGCGGCGGTGGCGGTGGCGGCGGATCCGACTGCGAGTCACGATCCTGCGCTGGAGGGTACAGCGGAGAGCGCACAGCAGGAGCAAGAGCCTGCCGATCCTCGTCCACGTGTCCCCGCGCGCCCCTCCGCAAGTGAGCCCTTCCGCCGCTTTGAGCGCGGGCTCTCTCTTCCTCTTTGGGGAGTCCCACGGCCCACCTCGCCGGAGTACTCGTGGGCTCCTGCTCGGGTCGCGTCAAACCGCCTCGCTGGCCAGCCGGACGTTCCCCGCAGCGTCAGCCTCCGCTGCAGCGATCTCCTCGTCGCCGTTCTCCTGAGTGGCGCGAACCTCCTCGTAACGGAGCGGGCGACCAGTGATCTCCAGCGTGCCATCGCTCCCCCCAGCACCACTCTCCTCAGCATCATCCTGTCACCACTCCCCCCACCCCGCACCCTTTCCCCTTCACAACGTCACAGCACGCACGGGGTTGGAAGGGGAAGGCGTGCGCCCACTGTTTCAGCTGCCGCACGCGCTGCTTCAGGGGGGCCGCGGGTGGAAAGACGGTGGCGGAGGGGAAGGCGAAGTAGGGGCGCAGGGACGCGCCTAGAGCGCCTGGGAACAGCGCATAGCTGCTTGGCGCACCGCCCTGCTTGCCACCGCCACCACCACCGTCACCGCCGCCGCTGCCGCCGCCACCACCGCCACCGCCGCCGCTGCCGCCGCCACCACCGCCACCGCCGCCGCTACCGCCGCCACCGCTACCGCTGCCGCCACTGCTGGTGGTGTTGATGTAAGCGAAGCCTTGAGGGCCTGACTGATCCACTGTGCTCTGATGGCCGCAGGAGATGGGGAGGGAGGGGCGCGGAGGGGCAAGGGGAGGGGCAGAGAGAGCATGGGAGACGCGATGAGTGCAGGAGAGAAACACAGGGGACAAACGCAGGAAGAGACTTGTCGATCCAGCCAACCGGTCTGTCAGTGCGAACGACGAGTACAATGGCTTGGAGCGGAGATTGGTTTAGCGTAAAATTATTGCGAAAACAAAATGTGAGGCAATGAGCTATGGGAAGGAGGAGGAGGGCAAACGAGCAGGTGGTGGAAGGTGATGACATCCCCCACGCCCGCTACGCACGGCAGATCGCCCACGCTCCCCGCTATGGCCGTGACTTGGTACCCGGGGCTCTGACACGTGGCGTCCGCTAGTAGTAGCGTGCAGCACACACCTGCGATTGGCCGGGGCGGGCGGGTGCAAGGGGAAAGATGGCGGAGGGAGTTGGCGGCGGGAAGAGAGTGAATCTTAGGAGCAGCGGGGGAAGACGTGTGGGAATCAGGGTGACTGTAACTTGACTAGACGAGCAGAGCTCGGAAGCGCAAAGCAGGCTATGAGCAAGCGGAGCGGGAGGAGCAGGACGAGCCATGGGGGGTGGTGCGGCGCACGTGTGTCTTGAAAGCTCCGCACGCAATCAGGGAGCACGACCACCCCCACCACGTTCACCGTCCTCCCCGCGGCGCGCGCCACGTCGGCCAGCGCCGTGTACTCGTGGTGCTTGGACGCCGGACACTGACGTGGCATGGGACGAGGCAAGCAGGGAGGGCAGGGAGGGTGCGGGGTGAGCAGCGAGTGAGAAACGGCGGGACGGCGAGGGAGAGGGTGGGTGTGACGGAGCATCAAGACGGGTCAAAGGACGGGACGAGGGTGGGACGGGTGGAGAAGCGTCGAAGTGGCATGAAGGTGCACAGTCGAGCCGAGGGACGCGATGCGAGGGAAAATGGAGGTGATGAGATAAGCGAGGTGACGCGACGAGCAAGTGAGTGCGAGAAGAGGAATCGTGGACGGCAATGCGCGACGCCGGACGGGTCGGCATCGGCGAACTAAGAAACTCACAGCCATCACTTGGACGCTACCGTAGCGCAAGTAGTAATAAGTAGTTGAAATTCCTTTTACTATCTGACGACACGCTGTAGTCGCGGGGCGCTGTACTTGCCCACCATTCCCCCACCTGAAGTAAGCCCACTAAAATGAAACATAGAGTGCTTTGTCGTAGGTTGGGAACGATGCTCTGCGCTTTTAGAACAGTTCCACTCCATCTGTTCTGTCCAACTCAGGGCTGGAGAAGCAAGGCCATTTGGCCTTAATGCCCTGAACATTCCGGGTTACGCTTGGAGCAGCTCGACCGTTTAAAGTGCTAGAATAGCATGGCACCCGTGACAGTTAAGGGCCTTGTTTGGGCCTTCCCCTGAATCCAAGTTTTGGTTTCTGTGTTGAGCACACCCACCCACCCCCCATCCCGCCGCTTCCCCCCCCCCCCCCCCCCCCGCCCCCTCCATGACTTTGCCTACGAACCCCTTCCCTCCTCCCATTTTTTTTTGCCTACGATGTAGAGGCTGTAAGATTGTTGAGCGGTGAGTATGCACCTTCCCTCTGCTAAGTAGAAGGCACGTCCTCCTTTGGACATTAGGGGAAAGTGACTTTCCTTAGAAGCCCGGATTTTAAGCCTCGATTTTGGCCTGCGCCCGTGAAAATCAGGGCCAGAATTTGAGCACCTCAGGACTCAAAGTTTTGGTCCCAGGGACTTCGACAGCCCTGGTCCAACTGTGCTGCAGGTGTGATTGAGTGATCTGCGTTGTCTCCAGGGAAAATATGTCACAAGTAACCAACATGGGACTCGATAACGTGAATGGTAAAAAATCAACGCGTACGGTCATTGTATCGGGTTTGCTGACGGGTTTGGTAAGTGGGGTCACGGATTCAGTCACTAACAACAGGTGAAAAATCACGGGAATGGTCACACATGTAACTCCCGCCAAAATTTCTTGAAACTCTACAAAATTCCCGCTCGCGCCCAACAAATCATCTAATTTCTAAAAATACTAAAACCCAATCGGAATCGGATGGGGTTTGGGAACGGATCAACCCTAAACACCTGGCGAGTTGTGTTTAGGGTTGATTCATCCGAAAATGCATCCAGGTTCGTTTTGGGTATTATCTTTTTTGGGCGGGAGTTTCATCAGTGACCATTAGCGTTATTTTTTCCCAGTTGATTGTGACTGATTCCGTGAAACGTTTTATCAAACACGTGAAAACACCCTTCGCAGTGACTACCCGTTATTTTTTTACCAAACATATTATTGAGACCCTTGTTGATTACGAGTGGCATATTTTCCCTTGTCTCCACATCTATCGCGCAACTTCCGCCACAATCTGCACTGAACACTTATTCTTTCGCTTTAGCGCATAAACAAATAACAATTCCCACCACAATGTTTGCCTTCAGCAGAAAATCACTAACCTAGCTGAGAATTCTACCAAGGGCTATAATTTCACAAGTCCAACGCCATGCAGCAACCCCCTCAGGAGCTGCAGCTTGGATGGACGTCCGCAGAGGGCGGTGAGAAACACCCAAAACATGCAAACAATTTCGAAAACACAGACCTCCTCTTCCCACCCTTTTTCCTCCAACTCTTGCCCTCTCCCTCCTTGCAGCTCCACTCTTCCAACCTGCACACCTGCCCCATCCCTCCCTCTCCTCCCTGCCCCTTCCTTCTCAACTCCGTCTCGTTCCCACCCCCATCTCCAACCCATGCATCAACAATCATCACAACATCATCATCATCCTCTGCCACTCGCTCCGTGCGCCACAGCTCCATCATATCATGCTTCCACAGTGACCGTGCCACTGACTTATGCCGCCTGCTGCGCCGCTTCTCACTCCGCCTCTTCTCATCCAGAATCGCCTGCTCCTCCCCCACCCGCTCCTCCTGCTCCGCTCTGCACGCCTCACTTGCTGCTCCTCCTCTTCCCACAACTAATTCGTCCAGCTCTGCGGGAATATGTGTTGAGTCTCCTATTGTCGCATCCACTGTTGCTACCTCCTCCTCACTCCCGCTCGATTCACACCCCTCCTCTTCCACTCCACAGCTTTCGCTCAACTCTTTCTCCTCCTCTGTCTCCTGCTCTGTTTCACAGCTTTCTGCTGCCAACCTGCTCTCTTCCTCACTTTCTTCCTCCTCACTCTCCTCCTCTCCCTCCTCACTCACTTCTTCACTCTCCCCTCCCCTCTGCTTGCCACCGTCTACGCTTGATTCCGCAGAATCTTCAAATATTTCCTCCTCGACTAATCCTGACTCCTCACTCTCCTCCTCTTCCTCTTTCTCCTCGTCTTCCTCCTCTTCCTCGTCATCCTCATCCTCATCCTCCTCCTCTTCCCCATAACTCACATACTCCCCATCGCTCGACTCATCATCACCCTCACCCACCTCCTCCTCTCCTTCCTCTGCCTCCTCCCCACTCTCCTGCACCCCATCCTCCTCGGTTTGCACCATAGACCTCGAAACGGCCTTCTGAACACTCAAAGGCGCCCGCACGCCCTGACTGCTGCCACTGCCCCTGCTGCTCTTCCCGCTGCTGCTCGCACTCATGCCGCTGCGACTCTCGCCACTCCGACCACCCACCGCCGCCAATCTTGCAGCAGCTCCAGCAGTAGCACCACCACAATTACTCAAGTCCCACCGTTTCCTCCCAGAGGTGCCTGCTCCCGCCCTGCCTGTTTGCACATTCTCGTTTTCCCGTACCTTCTCCTTCTCCTCCAGCCCAACCGTCTTCTCACGCATAGCAGCTGGCGCAGCAACAGGAACATTGCCACACCGGCTAGCACCAGCGGCAGCACCACCAGCAGCAGCAGCAGGAGGAGAAGGAGCAGCAGCAGCGCCACCAGCAGCCATTGCTGCTCCGCGCCTCTCTCTCCCGTCTGCTTGCACACCAGCCCCTCTGGCTTGCCCTTTCCCGGCTCCCACACCAGCCATCCTGAAACCTCCTCCCACGCGCGCACATCCCACCCCTGCTCCTTCACTCTCCCTTGCACCCGCAGCAGCAGCACCACCCGTGCCCCTACCCCACCTGCTCGTGCTAGGCACACTGCCCGAGGACGTGGAGGAGGGGGCAGGCGAGCCCGGCAGCGGAGGCAAGCCCCCAGCCCCCATCCCCGCACCACCACCCGCCCTCCCATTGCTTGCCTTCCACCCCGCCCCTCCCACCCCTCCTGCTCCCCCTCCTGCTTTCCCTCCTGTTCTTCCTCGTCCTGCTGCTGTACCCGCGGCTCTCGCCGTCCCTGCGGACGGGGGAGGAAGGGACGGCCAGAGCGCAGGCACAGCTGCTGCTGGGAGAGGCGGGTGGGCGAGGGAGGGCGAGCAAGTGGGCGAGGAGGAAGGGGAGGACGAGTACCAGGAAGAAGAGGAGCACGCAGAGGTGGTAGCAGATGAGATGGTCCTTGCCCGCCCCGTGATTGCCGTTGTAGCCGAAGTAGCCGTTGTAGCGGTGGTGGCGGTGGTGGCGGTTGTAGCGGTTGTAGCGGTGCTGGTGCTGGAAGCTGCACTGGAGAGGCACGGCGACCCCTTGTCCGTGCGCGCGCTCCCTCTCTTCTCCGCCACCCACGCTGATATCGGCGCCTTCTCCCCTCGTCTTCTCCCCCACGCGCTGCTCTCTCTCGGCCTCTCTGCGTGGCTGTGTGCGCTGCCGCCTCTGCCGCGGCCCCTGCTGCCGCCCTTGGCTGCCTCACTCGCGCTTTTCTCGCGAGCCGCAATCGCCGCCTCGGCGCGTCGCTTGGCTCGGGCGACGGCGGCAGCAACGGCCGCATCAGGCGCCGCAGCAGCAGCAGCAGCCGCGCGTCGCTTCCCCTTCACCGTCCCGACAGCCGTACCACCTGCTTCCTTCGCTTGCGCCCCAACCTTGCTCCCTGCTCCCGCACCCGCAGCTCCTCCTGCTGCTGCACCTGATGCTCCTGCTGCCGGCGTGGGTGAGACACGTTGAGCCAGCATCCGTTGTCGCTTGGCCGGTGTGGCCACTGATGCCTGGCTCTCCGTGCTGCCAGCCCCATGCACCAGGGGATCCCCTCCATGCGCGGACCCTGTGCGCGCACCACCACCGCTCTCCTGCGCGCACGCGTTGCTGCACCCGCTGCTGCTCTCGCGCTCGCCGCGGTGGTGCGGCGATGGGATGGCCCAGGGCAGGCCTGAAGCTCGCGGTATGCGACTGGGTGGCGCTGCTTCCGCGCTCCTCCTCCCTTCGCTGTCACCGCCCTCCCCTTCCGTAACCACTGCTGCTGATACTTCCGCTGATGCCGCTGCCGCTGCTGCTTGCGGCGCTCCCTCTGCCTCCTCCGCCTCCTCCTCCTCCTCCTCCTCCTCGTCGCTCCGTCTCCTCTCCGCTGCACTCTCCACAGCACCTGCCAGTCCCACGAACACAGCTGTTCCTGTCGTGCCGTCTGCCACCACGCCAATCCTGCCCCCTCCCGCTCCACACGCCTCCTTGTCTCCACCACCGCATCCCCCCCCATCCGCGCAGCCACTGCTGCGCTCACCTGGCGCGGAGCAGGACAGGGCGGAAGGAGCAGCGGCGGCAGGGGGCGTGGCGGCAGGGGGAGTGGCGGAAGAGTGGTGAGCAGGGACGTGAGGTGGCGTTTCCAGGGATGTAGCACGAGGGGTGCTAGTGAGCGGGGACTGGTCCGCGTCAGCATCACCTGCCGCTGCGGTCGACATCGTTTCACTCGCAAGAACCGTGCGTGCCGGTGTTCTGTCAAAACCCGCAGCGAGTTCCGTGGTTATGACACCTGAAGCATCGGCACCATTCACAGCAGCCACAGCAGCCACAGCAGCCACAGCAGCCACAGCAGCCACAGCAGAAGCAGCAGTAGCGGCATTGAGAGGAGCAGGCGGTCGAGGCGGCGAGCCGGTAAGGCCTGGGGGCGTTTGTTGCCGACCAGCGGTGATCGCAGGACACGGAGAAGGGGCGGCGGTACCTGGCAGGAACGTCGCAACCGCTGACGCTTCTACGCCTGCAGCCGATGCCGCCGTCCGCTCCGCTGGCACCGCAGCTGTTGCTGTAACTGCTGTCGATAATGATGCAGCTGCTGCTGCTGCTGCTGCGACGGCGTTCTCCTCTGCCGTTGCTGCCTGCGCCGTTCCTGCATCGGCCACAGTTGCCAAGGTAGCGCCAACAGCAGCATGAGGCGCAGCAGCTGGTGTTGCGTCGACCTCCGCGCGCTCCGCTGCGTCCCCATTGGCTGACTCCTTCAATTGACTGCACGCCTCGTCTGCGCTCGACACGACGTCAACAGCAGCAGCTGGAGCAGCAGCGGGAGCAGCAGCTGGAGCAGCAGGAGGAAGCTGAAGATCAGGGGGAGTGGCAGCGGCAGGCGAGCCGCACGGCGGTTGCTCCTCGAGTTCCTGCAACAGGGAGGGCGGCGGGATGGGGCCAAGTCGCCTGGCGGGCGCCGCCACGCCGAAGTGCCGCACCACCCACGCGTCGTTCAGCACCTCCTCCGCTGACGGCCGCCGCCCCGCCTCCACCTGGTGCCGCGGAACACCGGGGGAGGGAGATGGGGAGTGGGGGTTGGATGGGCTAGGAGGAGAGATTTGGCCTGCATGGTCGAGTGAGTCGACACAAGAAAATCAGGAAAAAAGCATTACAGATTTAGGTTGTACGAAGCTTTGCTAAAGCCTCATTTTAAATCAGCTTCTTGCTACTCCTCTTTCGCACGGCGTACCTGAAGCATTCGCGCGACCAGTCGCTTCGCGTCGCCCGGCACAGACGGCCACGGCTTGGACGTCAGATTGAGCCGCCCCTCCATGATCCGACGGCCCAGCTCGTCGTCGTCGCGCCCTCGGAACGGCAGGCAGCCCGAGAGCATGGCGTACAGCACCACTCCCAGCGACCAGATGTCGGCTTTAAAGTCGAACGGCTCAAATCGGATCAGCTCAGGCGCCTCGTACAGCCGGCTGCCTGCCACGTCGGACGTCTTTTCTCCGGGAGCGAGAAACACGGCGAATCCAAAGTCCGCGAGCCGCACGTGCCACTGCAGCAGGGAGCGTTGACTCGCGCTTCGTGCGCCCAGCCCCGTGAGCGCCTTCCCCACCGCGCGGGTGGTGGCCCCTCCGACGGCTGCGGCGGATCTTGCGGCGGTTTTGGCGGCTGCAGTCACTCCGCCAGCAGCGGCGCCGCCTTGCTGCACCGGCCAGCGGATGTTCTGCGAGTCGCTGGCTTTATTCTGACTGCCAGCAGCAGGGACAGCTGACACGGGCACCTTCTTTACGGAATTCACGGTATTAGCGGGCTCTGTGGGCCGTTCGATGTTGAATTGCTGTGCCGTCAGTGGCATCGTATCTTCGCCTCCCTGATTGTTGGATTTGCCATCCTTCCGCCGCTCTTCCTCCCAGTCCTCCTCCTTCCCCTGCTGCTCCTCCTGCTGCTCCTGCTGTTTCACCTGCTGCCACCGCAGTGTCCGTTGCGCCTGATCCTTCACGCTCGGGCTTGTCTCCTGCTGCTGCTGCTGCTGCTGCTGCTGCTGCTGCTGCTGCTGCTGCAGTCCCCGCGTAGTCCTCCCGTCGATTCCCGCGGATCGCGTGAGCAGGATGTTCTCGGGTTTGAGGTCGCGGTGCAGAACGCCTTGCGCGTGGCAGAACTGCACGGCGGAAACCAGCTGGCGGAACAGGTGCGCCGCCTCCAGCGGATGCAGCCGCCCATCGCCCACGATCTTATCGAACAGCTCGCCGCCCTCGCAGTGCTCCATAATTAAGTACACCGCCTCGTTATCCTCCAATACCTCCTGGAGCCGCACCACGCCGCCGTGCCGCCCCGCCAGCACGCGCATCACCGCCACCTCGCGCCTTACCTCGTCGCGTTCCCATGCGGACTCGAGCCCGCGCTTGCTGATTTTCTTGCATGCGTATGTCGCTCCCGATGCGCGGTCCTCCACCAGCCAGACGGTGCCGTGTCGTCCCTCGCCGATCTGCGACACAAATTCGTACGCAGCGCTGACGTGGCGGTCAGGGGGCGCCGTCGACGCTGGGAACACGCGGAAGGAGTAGGTGGGGGAGGAAGGTGAACTGGGGGCGATGGGCGGACACGGCTCGTGGGTGAGAGGTGGGGGAGTGGTAGAGGCGGAGGATTCGCTAGAGGCAGGTACATGTGTTGGTTCGGATGCGGTTGGGATGGGTGCGGAAACCGTGATGCCGGGCCAAGCTCCCGCGCTGAGTGCGCTACCGCTGCCTGGAGGCATGGCTGCGTTCGCACAGTGTAGGAGTGGGCGACGATGTAGGCGACAACGTGTGCGATCACGTAGGCGACCACGTGGTTAGTATAGCTGTGATTTGTGAGTCTGGATAAGGTTGACGTTATGGATTGGTGTTGAAATTGACTTCGTTAACGCTTTAAGGAGACTATGAATCTGCTCTACTAGTATAGGCGTATTGGCGCGATGCGACGAGATGGGTGCCGGGCGTCGAGTTTCTCATACGAGCCATGTTTGAATTACAGCTTGACAAGCGCCTCTTAGTAACACGTCTAGAGTACATCCCTGGGATCAAACGCTGGCGACATGCTGTGATTTCGGTGTCGAAAAAGAGAATGGTCAAGCTAGCAAGCTTTTTGGTCAAGGGCATAACGTTGATCCTCTTAGTTGGTGGTGGGAAAGACCAGAATTTGGTTTCAGCAGAAACCGTGTCGCGTCGAGCTTGTCCCAAAATGTTAGCAGAACCAACCCTGGAGCACATCTCCGAATCGCGGAATCCGGAGGGCTTGAGGGTCTTGGCGAAATTGTTCCGGGCCAGGGCGCAAGGCGAATTTGATGGTGGTCGTGTGGCCAGGCGACTGACCACATTCGTCCAGCAGGCAGCCCTTCGCATGTCTCCAGTGGCACTTGAACAGAGAGACCGAGTTCCACTGTTTGAAAGTCGGCTCACTTGTCGCAGAAGGTCGCAGCGCGAGTGCACTGACAGTTGGATTGTAAGGAACTTGGGGGCCAGGCACACGCAAACAGGCCCCACTGCGGAGGCGCGCAGCGCACAGAGCACCCAGTTCCCTCCCTCCCACCAACGAACAAAATTAGGGGACACTTCCTCGAAGGCTCCCCGTCAGGCCCAAAGACCTTCGCTATTAGCCTTGTAACGTGGTGACCACTGTACATAGGACGAGTCTCTCACAAGATCGGTGTATTTCCCATTGGCTGGCTTATATACAATGTTATCTAATTATATGATATATTATTAACATCATGATTCTGAGATTCAGCTTGAATACGAAGTGAACTGAACCTGACATGACATGGCTACACAGTAATGAAAATCAATGGACTCAATGGTTGCATTGTTCTTTTACCAATATAATTAGCAAGATCTCGTAGATATAGACGGCTTATGAATATCGGATGTAAAATAAATGCATAAAGTCCTCAAAATGACTAGATTTAGGCGATACAATGCATGTAAGGAAAATTCCCTTTCCTTACTTCGCGTCCCTGCTCAACGCGTACACCAGGCCTTCAGATGTCATAATCGTAGGCTAAAGTGATGTCGACTATCGAGGGAGTTGGTACAAAAAAAAATGAACCTAAGGGGTTGTACCCAACAGTGTGCACCCCACTAAGCCTACCCAAACTATAACATAGATATACATATGTTTGACACACCCCCATAGGCAGAGTCGGGGAGAACAGAGGGTCACAAGACCAGTCAGGAAGTGCAAAGCAAGCTCAGGGTGGATCACAACGTCACCACGCAGTCTGAGCACAAGCAAGAAGGCCACAAGGTCAGTTCACATGCAGAGATATATATGTAACAACAACAGTACAGTGAAATCTACCTACAAGAACAAGCATGCAGGAATACATATAAATCATGGTACAAACAAAGCCTACAGCAGGTGAGGAAGCGTGGGCACAAGGCCTAACAAAGTGCAGAAACGCTGATGATCACCAGGCGGAAGTGCCTTGGCGAATATATCAGCAGTGTTGGCCCGAGTGGCCACGCTGCTGCAGCTCTCGAGCAAGAAAGTAACAGAGAGCGATGAGCTTCGTTCTGTGCTCTAGTATGTGCTCCTGACACAAGGCAATGGCGGCTTTGTTGTCGACGTACAGCGCTGGAGGAGAACGAGGCCGCTCTCCCAAGTCAGTCAGCACGTAGGTGAGCCAGCGAAGCTCCTGTGCAGCCATGGCTGTGGCGTAGATCTCAGCCTCACAACTGGAGCCGAGAACTGAAGACGAGCGTGTAGAACGCCAAGAAACTGAACCAGAGCCAAGGCTGAAGGTGTAACCCTGTGACGACCACTGCGTAGCCTGGTCGTCAACCCAAGAGGCGTCCGAGTGACCAGTGAGGACAACGTCACCCCGTCCTCCAAGCACGAGCCTCATGCCCGATGTACTGCACAAGTAGCGTAGTACCCTCTTGGCAGCATCCATGTGCACCTTTCGGTGCCGACCAGGAGCCACGTAGCGAGCCAGAAGGCCAAGAGGGTACGCAAGGTCAGGACGAGTGCAAGTCATCAGGTACATGAGGCAGCCTACTAACTCTGGGTAAGGACCACTCGGCTCTACGGACTCGTCCGAAGGTGGAGCTGAGAGCGAGTGACCTGTAGCCAGAGGAGTGGCCTGTGCTGAGGACCAGGTGAAACCGAAGCGCTGAAGGACCTGCTGCACCATGTGTGACTGAGTCAGTGTGATGGTGCGGCGTGCTCTGTCCCGGGTGATCTGCAAGCCAAGGTAGCTGCGCAGTTAACCCAGGTCTGTGCACGTGTGTCTCTTCTGCAGCTCCGACTTCACCAGGGCGAGAGCCTCAGTGTCAGCAGTGGCAAAGACCAAGTCATCGACGTACACGAGAACGTAGAACGGCGGCAGCGAAGTGTCGGTGCGCAAAAACAGCGACGGGTCAGCAGTCGACGGAGCAAACCCAAGAGCCGCAAGTGTCGTCCTCAGTGTGTCGTGCCACTCACGTGGCGCCTGGCGGAGACCGTAGACCGGCCGCCGGAGGCTCCACTGGGTACCAGGAGGGAACGACCCAGTGAAGCCAGGAGGGCGGCGCAGCCAAATCTCCTCGTGCAGGCTGCCCTGTAAGAAGGCTGTGCTGAAGTCAAGAGAGTGAAGCTCGTAGTCACGCTGAGCGGCAACGTGCAGCAGCACCCGAAGAGTGGTCATCTTCGGGGTGGGGGAGAAGGTCTGGAAGAAGTCAACTCCCTCTCGCTGACTGAAGCCTCGAGCCACGTAACGAGCCTTGAAGACAGGCGGAGAACCTGGCGGCCGCTTCACCCTGAAAATCCACATGCCACTGACAATGTTCGCCCCAGGAGGGGGAACCTCGTTGACGTAGGTGCCTGTGGACTTCCAGGATGCCATCTCTGCGTCCATGGCTGTCTGCCACTGAGAGGAGTACTCACCCGTGATCGCCTCAGCGTAAGAGCGCGGGGTAGGGATGTCTGGTGCATCCGGGTCTCCCTCAGGGGCAAGCAGCATGGATACGAGATGAGGCGCAGCGGCTGCAAGACACTCAAGGTCCTCCTGCCTGTCCTCAAGGACGTCCGTGCTAAGAGCACACTCACCCCCGACGGATGGAGGACAGACAGACGCAGACTCAGCAACAAGACCAGCGCCGTAGTCTAGACGACAGTGAGCAGGAAAGGCAACAAGCTCAGTGACTAAGGCCGACGCAGCAGAAGACTCAAACGACGGGTCAGTGACAACAGTGGCAAGCAGACGCGTGACAGTAGAGTGCTCAGCACGAAACCGGTCAGACGCAGGGTCAGCAACGACAGGCAGAGAGGACGCAGGGGGAGGCGGCAGAGGAACACGCGGTGAAGGAGAGGAAGGACGACGAACTACAAGGGGAGGGCTGGAGACAGCCGGCTGGCATTGACGAGGAACACGACGACCGGAACTGACAGGGGAGACAGGACGCGACACAGGCTCACGACGCTCTGCAAGGCCACCAGGCTGCTCTGTGTACGGAGAAGGAGCAGGAAGCGGTGAGCCAGGCTGTAACGGAAGACCAGTAGACGAGGGAAGACTGAGAACCTGGCGAAGTGCAGAGTCAGGTGGTGGTTGAGACGACGGAGACGGTGGAGCAAAGAACAGGCGCGGCTGAGCAGTGCCACCAGCAGCTCCAGCACCTCCAGCAGCTCCAGCACCCCCAGCGGCTCCAGCACCTCCAGCAGCTCCAGCACCTCCAGCAGCTCCAGTACCTCCAGCACCTCCAGCAGCTCCAGTACCCTCAGCAGCTCCAGCACCGCCAGTAGCTCCAGTACCTCCAGAAGCACCACCACCAGCCCCACCAGCTCCACTACTCCCAGTACGAGCACCTCCGGGACCAGCAACACCAGCAGAAGAACCTCCAGGAGGAGAGCCCTGAGGTGCAGAGGTGGGACGCCGACGGCGACCGTACCAGTCGTGCAGCTGCTGGGAGGTGAGGGGCACACGCGGACGAAGACGGCTACTCCAAGGAGACCGCGTAACAGCAGTCTCAGAACCCTCAGGCAACTCACCCCCAGACTCAGCACCCCCAGGCTCCGCACACACAGACTCACCACCCCCAGACACAGTACCCCGAGACGCAGCACCTCCAGGCTCCTCACGCGCAGGCTCAGCACCTCCAGGCTCCACACGCTCAGCGCCCCCAGACTCAGCACCCCCAAGCTCCGCACCCCCAGGGACAGCACCACTCGCAGCAGGACCTGAGTCACCAGTGACCTCAACAGGCGCAGGCGCAGGGGGGACTACCTGAGAGACACCTGAAGGAGCAGGACCTGGCGCGGGGAGGGGGTCTACCTGGGGAGGACCTGGGGCGAGAAAGAGCGGCGGGGGGGGGCGAGGAGCAGTGCGGTAGGGGAAGAGGCGGTAAAAGGGGACGGACTCGTCAAAAGTGACGTCCTGAGACGCAAAGACACGGCGCGAGGCGGGGTCGTAAAACTGCCAGCCAGGCGCGTCAGGGACAAAGCCAAGGAAGACGCAAGGAATGGCGCGAGGGGAGAGCTTGTCCGCGGTGGTATCGCAGACAAAGGCACGAGCACCCCAGACCCGGAAACGCGACGCGTCGCCAACCTTCCCCGTCCACAGCAGTGTGGGCGAGGTCTCCGGCAAGGAGACACGGGGCCAAAGGTTGAGCTGATGCGCGGCGTACCGGACCGCAAACGGCCACAGAAAATGGGGGGCAACCGCATGGATCATGGAGGTACGAGCGACCTCCATGACTAAGCCAATGCGGCGCTCAGCAACCCCATTCTGCTGCGGAGAGGCCG